AAGTGTTATTCTACCTGAAATTGTTTCTACGACCTTAGTACGATATGGTAGCCCTGGGACCGGCCGCGAAGGACCTAATCCCCCCTAGTCCGTTCATTCTATCAAAAACAATCTGTTAGCAGTCGATGACATTGTAATGCCCGGTGCGCAGAGGGATCCAGCACCACACGGCATGTTGGCTCCTACAGTACTATGCTTCCTCGCGCCCACGGCATGCCGGTCCCTCCCCCCCAAATCTCAATCGCCCACTCACCCACGCATGTACGGCAATATCGTCGCCCGGATTACTATTGATCGAGTACCGTACACCTGCAAGCCATCAGCTCAGTCAGCGATTATCCATTACTCGAGTATACTCGAGTAGGCCAAGGCCGCCATCAATTGGCACTGCTCGCACGGTAGGCTAGGTCCACAATGAGCACCGTTCGCACAAGAAGGATCGACTTGCACTCTGATGAATATAGCCCCAAGCTGTGAAAGGAGTTCTACCCCAGCACCGAATGGTTTCACACAGAAAAAAGCACTGCTTCCCAGAGTACCGGTATTTCCTTTTTTTCCTTGTCCCCTTCCCCACCAGGCTAGCGCGCCTGTTTCGGCGGAGGGGATGTGAAGTTCTCGAACCGCACGACGCGATACAAAACCGTTTGCCCAATTTCCAAGTCCCCTCGACCTCCAACACAAGTTAAGGGACGCGATGGTGCGGTTCTCGAGTCTCAGTTGCGGTCCCAGTCCTGTGCCACCCCCAGCCCCAAAGCAAATTTCAACAACCACGTTAGATCCCGCTCCACGTTGCCCACAATACGAGTAAAGTGAATAAAAAGCAAAGAAAGAGGAGAATGAACCCCCAACCAACCAGGGGCACACTCAACACACTCACTCTCCCCGACGAGCCCAATAAAACCCCAAACCTTTTGCTTTTTTTGTTTGTATTTTAAGAGTCCATTGGAACTCCGGTTTGCCCCACAGGGTGGTGGAGAGCCCAAGGAAGGAGGGGAGCATCTGTAGCCGTGAGGTTTGTAACAGACGCGCATACTGTAGTTCAAAGGTATTTCGCGCATACAGGTAGCGTTTTACTCGTACCGGTATCTGCTTGTTCTACACGTTTTTTTTTCTTTCCCCGTTCTCTCCCACGCGAGTAAAACGGTTTTATTGATGATACGGTGTCGAATAATGTCGTTCAATATCGCAATCTGTAGTTAATATTGACAGACAAGGGTAATACCTTGTCCATGCAGTGCGGTGTTCGTCCGGTGCTATGATAGGAGTCCATCGACCCTCACCATCGCCAAATCCAACCAAGAGGCCCCAACAACAGCAAAGTTTTTTGGAGGAAAGCCCCTCGACAGGATCACTTAAAATTGGCTCCTCTTCATTCAATGAATTCAATTCTCTTGATAGAGCGAGCGCCGGTTGAGAAAGGTGAGCAGGGCATCTTGGAAAAAGTGAACACACATACAAACTATGCCAAGGCGCTTCCCCATTTGTGCCGCAGGAGTGCCTTACGGTACTCCTACGAGTACATCCCTGAATGACACAAGCAAGTATTGACAAGCGAGAAAAGGGCCAGGGGTGAATGAGAGGGTCGGTTCTTGGTGTCCGGCACCATACTGTACTTGTACGGGTACTGGTACTGTACAGTACAATGGAGAAGGTAGCGAACAGTTCAAGCAGGTCTGAACTCCACCCTCGCGAAGAAAAGCCATATCAGCGAAGGGGGCTTTCTCTTTCCATAGGTCGAGCCCAAATTAATACGCCCTTCACATGTCGGCTCTGCATCGCGGATTGTCCACGCGAACTATCATATCGAACGGCAGAATAGGGGGGGGTAGGCTGTGTGGGGGGAAATGGAAGAAATAACTGTGCAGGACACACAGTATGATACCACGAAAAAGTAAAGAAAAAGAACAAAGCCAATTGTGACATGATGACCAGCCTCTCTCCCTTCTCCCCTTCCCCCCTTCGCCCCGTATTCAGACTGCCGGGGTTATAAGTTCCATTCAATTCTCCGTATGGACTTGGTTTCTGACCGTATTCCTTCCTTCCAGGCTACAGTACCCTTAACCGCAAGCGCTGTGAGTGCTAAATCGGCTTTGACAGGAACCTTGTTCTGTCAAAGCTTATTGACCCCCCCGGCTTTGCTGCCTCCACACTTCCCTGAAGGTGCAAGTGCTGTACGAGTACCGACCTTACTTCACCAAGACACATTAGCACCCCGCATCTGGTACGGCAATTTACCGCAATCCAGGAATGGGAAAAAAAGTGTGTGGGAAGAGGGAGCTAGGTTAGGCTATAACAGATCACCACAACCACCGCCCTACTCGTACTTTCATACTCGTACAATCGAGCACTCGACAGTGCTAGTATCATACAAGTAACTCGAATAGTACTCCCCAAAAAGCCTTGACTCCTGCTGTCCAACCCCGACATTGCCGTACTGTACTGTACACTCACCTAAGCAATCATACGATGGCGCTCGCCCCGTTCGTAGCTTTTGCCTAATCGACCCTCACCACCACCAAATCCAGCAAGGAACGGGCTCCAACAACAAAGTTCCCCGAGAAAATCTCTGTATCGGACTGTTCCTCTCCAATTTTGCGAGGGGGCACTTTTGAAGAAGAAGAAAAAGAAAAAAAACTATACACATACAAATTTACGCCAGAGCGCTACTCCTTTTTGTCTGCATTACTAAGCGGGAAAAAACGAGAACAAGGTCAGTTTCTTTGGTGTCCGGCATTGCACTTGCATAAACAACACTTTATGGCATTTCTTTTTTTCTTCTTCCTTCTACGATATCATGCAATATTGCTATTCTGACGAGGGAAACGTGGTCCACACGCTTGGGCAATAAATTTATTCACCGAATGTCACTCGAAGATCGGTAGGTTACCGTGAACTGCAAGTCTTTCCAGGATCAACTGCTCTATCATAAGCATAAAATGCAAGTAGGCGTGAGGCGAGGCACAGCACCTTTACTGGATGCAGATGGGTTCTTTTCCTGGATAGCTCGTGACCTAACGAATGCATCTATTTGACCCAGTGGTCGTTTCTTTCGCGGAGCTGGGTCAAATTTCCCATCGCAAATGCTCATCTACCGTGGTTAACTTGGGTGGGACAAGTTCCGTAAACGAAGAAGGAAGACAAATCGAAGAAACCCCCGCAGTTCAACCCTGCAAACCATGTGGCTCGGATGGGAGAGGAGGAACAGCAAGCTTCCAACTTTTTTCTCCCCAATTTTCACCGACTCGAGATCCGGTGCCGCAGATAGGTTCTTGCAGCATGTTCGAGTCACGCTGTCCCGACAAGGATCAGCCAGAGACGAAATCAATGCCATCACCCATGAACCTACTACCTTATACCCAATCAACGAGTAGTGTTACAAGCAATCGGCTGAAGTTTGGTGGAATCTGACATGGTAAATATCATGCCGGTCCAGACCGGTCCCACGTGGCGTTTCTGATTTTGCAGAAAACCCGCAAATATCCAAGGTCTCTAAGTGCTGTACGCTCTGGCTCTAGCTCAAGTATGGTATCAGCGCGGCGAGAGCGCGTACCGGTGCCGGTATCGTGTTAGCAATGAGAGTGCTATGATAAACACTGTGGTGGTGGTGGCGAGATAAATGAGCAATTTCGGTGGTAGGAAATCCAAGTGATAGAGAGTTATTCCCAATATTAATATCAAATTCTTAGAATCAGTAACTCCCGAGTACTCTGCAAACTCTGAATGGAAAGTCTGTACTTGGTACAGTCCCATCGTGCAATAAATTAACAAAACACTGGTCTTGGATACAAACCCCGCTCTACGGGGGGGGTCCGCCTAGGTACTGTGTTGTAAACCTTACCCATGAACCTCAATAACCAGGTTTCGATACCCCACCTCCCACAAATAATTATCGTTTCCCTCTGATTCCGCGAGTTTCGTGCCCACCCATTAGTCCCACAATCATCTCGGAACACTTCGAAGCAGTGGTACCAGGTTCCCCACTGTCTCCCCAACTATACCAGCTTAACGTCCGAATCCCTTCCGGTTTCCATCCACAAAGAAGGGATTTTTTTTCCTGTAAATTTTGGGGTTTGAATTTTTCTTTTTATATTGCGATTCCAAGATTGAAAATGTAGGTGAGTTAAGCGGAACTTAAGGAAGTCTGCATATGAAATGGAACGGAAAGAGTGCTAGATCCACCACGCCAATCTAGTACGCCCAAATTGCCTAGTTTCGATCGGAAACGTTTCCTTTTTTCAAAGTTGTATTCGGCCGAATACATGAACAGCCTCCATGACGAACGCAACAAAGGACAACACGGGGCAGGAGTCAAAACGTATAGTTTAGTAGTCACGGAATACTGTGGTGCCCCAGAGAGGAATTCAATAGCTGAAGATAAAACAAATCCTGAAACATAGATCACATTTTCCGATTCATTATCTGATAGAATTCGGTTAATGAAAAGAATGCCGCAGATTGGAAGAGGAATGGTCTTCCTACGACGCTGAGGTGTACATATAGCCGCAATATATGTTGTCAATTGGAAGTATCATATTTTTGTAGAATTTGCTTCCCTTGTAGTTCCAATGATGTGATGTCTTGGTAAAGCTGTTCTAACTGACGATGCATGAAGAGGTGAAAAGGAATCGTCCCGTAGTACGGGCAAGACGGGTTCCCACATCTTCTTTGGGTATCTGCTGCGGCGAGGTATCGGGCAGCTGGAATAAAGTTTGTTTCCCGGACGGATGGAGTATGGTGTCTTATACCAACTAGAACTGACAGTATGCCGTCTCTTGTGAACCGAACCTCGTGTCACAAGCCCAAATGGGTGTTCTCTATTGCTTCCTAGTAAAGTTGGTGGGTCGGTTGGGTACCGCTCCAAAATCTCGCAGGCAGAGCTATTGCCGCACTTGCCTTGATGCTTGAGCACCGCACTCAGTTCGGATTCAGAAGTGCGGATATCTTAGCCTGATGATATTTAAGGATTTTGCCTAGTCTCTACTTAGCTCTAGGGGCCGCGGTTGTAGATCCCACCTCGAGCAACTATCCACGAACATGACCTCCGCTACATCTCTCCAATCACCATCTCCGACCCAGCCCTACCGATCCGTCAGTGATCTCTGAGTCCTCGAAAGGCATGCTTAACTATAGATAGAACAATAATCCAAGCCAAGGATGAAGATCTAACGCCCGAGAATAAGTCATACAAACAGAGTTTAGTCCACCGAGAAACGGCGAAGAGAAGGAAAGGAAGAGGGGGGGAGATGACTGAATGAGCTGGAAAGATAATAGGATAGATGCAGGGTGGGGGCTGTTTTCAATGCTGATACCCAGGATTCCGCTCTACTCCTACTTGTAGGTGGGGGAACACGACTACGGCCCTTCCAATGAGGGAATTACGTAAATGCTACGTCCGTAGTGGTAGATAGGGTGATGATTGAGATGCGCCTTCACCCCGCCGGTAGTGATGGCGGTCAATACCGCTCAGTGCACCACTCAGAATACGAATAGGGATAGCGATAACCCAATTCTAGAAGTGGTGATGCCGTCGCAAGTGGCCTCGGTATCCCCGACAGTGTACCGCACTCGAGTAACTTCAGACCCCAGAGATACGTACTCGAGTAGATTGTCACACGCGCTGAGAACTGACTCACTGAATGCGAAAGACCGGCCGATCTTCAGCAGGATAGTTTCAGGGCTTCGGCGTGGCTGATGTCCCACTATCAGACCACTATCAGACCAACGAATATGGTAATATATTGGCCTTTACCAAAGGTGGGTTGCTCCTTTCAGCACAGAAAGGGATCGCAAGAATACTCGTACTGTACCTGTAGAGGGTTTGCGCAATGAGACATAGGTGGTAGGAAAACAGGTTATTTCGAGTTAACCTAAAATTCTTGGAGTACTCAGGTGGTTGGCAAGACTCGGGAGAAGTGCAAAAATGCCTGTTTCCGGGCCCGCGGAATATTGACAGATGCATAGTCTATCATACCACAAGATCGAGTCAACAGCGAATACTGAAAGTCTAGTGAGAATAACTCTTGCTAAGCACTTAATCTATATTCCTAATTTTTAAGTTTGATTTGACGGGAAGAAAAAAATTAGCGGGACCTATTTCGGTAGGCAAGCAATATAAAGTCTATTTGGCCCAGCTCTCTTAATGCTCCCCGCGCTCGACTTTTATCTTGAGTACGATACCTACAGCCCATATTTTCTGTGAAGCACCAAGTTGTCAAACCATTTCCTTGTGCAAAAAGAGCCACCGGCAGGCATTATCGCCGGAGGTTGTTGATCGAAGGTTGTTTTGTGACACTTTTTTAGGTGCTTGTTTTTTATAGATATTCAATCAAGCCCACTACCCCCCACCAACCTTCACGAAAACTCACTCGTGCCACCCATTTCCTCTATAGGTGACCCCTCCGGGTCACACCAGCCGCCGACCCACCCGCTCACCGCCTCCCCCCTTCATCCTTTTCTACAGTATTTCCCTGTTCTCTAACATCCACCTCACCCTAGGCAGGCACCGTAGTTGAGCTACTGGGAACAGCTCGCCCACACAAGATAGCATTGGAATCACTAAAAGGGTCACCTGCTCAAAATCCTGTTATGGGGAAGCTTGTCCGGAGGCCGATTACGATAAGTAGAATAACAACATGCGGATACACTGTAACTGCAATGATAAGGCAAGATTGCCTCCTTGAGTGATTAGCAACCCCGCAAACCACGATAGCCATGGTTTTGTTCCGGGGTTGATCTTGGTTCATGCGTTAGCTTCCCACCATGCGTTCACCCTCCAGCGCTTTCCTCTACTCTGCGAGTTCGAGCATAATCTATCATTCAATTGGTAGAGTACAGGGTATCATATTTCTGGATCTTCATTCTTGTAGCCACAGCTGTCGTACCATACGACTAGAATTACAACTCATAGGCGCATATAAATCTTCGAACCAGAAGAACAAAAGAAAAAAACTCCCCGTAAAAGAGAAAGGAAAGAAAAAGAAAGAAAGAAAGAAATCCCCAACACCGGTCCAGAAAGAAACGAGATTAATTACTATTTTTTTTCCATCCTTGTTATCATCACTCAAACATCTCTCCATGGTCTGTCCCATGCCCGTCCGCGTTCCTTTGCATTCCAAGTCTTGCGTCACCTTGGTGCTCCTGGCTGGGCCCGGCAACGCTGGGTGTGTACCCGAAGCTCGGATCTGTCTGGTCGTCGGCAAGTAATGACTCTGCGCTTGGTTGTGACAGCTGCGGGCGTGGGCGAGTGTAGCTTGTTTGGTTATCGCCTTGAGGCATATAGGATTGTGCGTCCGGATAGGGTAGAGGAAAACCGGCGCTGTGTGGATATGGTTGGGGTGTGTATGGGGTATGGGGGCTGTCTGCTCTTGTTGGTTCGGGATGGTGGGGTAGTTGCGAGGAAAAGGGTCTCGGTGTCCAGGAGTCTTCCATGATGTCTAGTGACCCCATCCTTGGATTTTCGTACATGCGTTCCGTCGGGCTTTGGGGGTCTTCTGTTGCATCTGCGGGAGTGGGATGGTGTACCTGTAACCCTCCGGGTAGTGGCCTCAGATCTGTTATTCCCATTGGTGCGGCATCCCCTGCCAACCCTTGGCTCTCCTTCTTCCGGTTTATAATCTTTTCCACATCCCGATGTCTTTTCCTCCAGCCCCAAAGCATCCATTTTAGTCCCCTTGCTGTTGCACAAATGGTATCCCATGGATTGAACGCATCCAACAGCGTTCCGAAAGCAGATGTCTTCTGCCCAGGACCGCGGTCGAAATCCTTCCATGCAAATGCCCACAAATGGAGGGTGGCAAAAATGATCATTTCAAAGCAAATAAGTAGAGAATTGAATCCAACAGAAATGTCACCTTGAGACATAACCTTACTTGGCTTAATAATCTTAGCCGAGACGAGGAAATCTAACAATATCTTGGCAGACGTTAGCGATGGTGCTAAGGCGTAAAATACGATATGCTCATACCATTTGCCAGAAAGAGAAGAAAATAACTAGTTTTATGCAAAGTAGTTTGAAAAAAGGTCTGTTTGCTGCGAGATCCCGCTTGAGATTAAGGTAAAACGCAATGAGACAGTACATGGCGATTGTCACAGCTATGACATTGAAAATCATGCACCACAAATGCGCGAATGCCGGATGAAGTGATTCTTCACAGTAGTTTCCGGTAGCTTGTGTTGCCGTAGCAATCGCAGTAGTTGCAACTCTAATGAAGATGTATTGAAAAACACCCATCCATATCAGCTGTAAAGGCCATTGTCAGAATGTGCCACATTGGTGGATCAAAGGGTAAGTCGAACGTTAAACCATGTCAAACCGTTCCTGGGTTTTCGTATTTGCCGTTTGTTCATGCATTTATTAATCCACGTTATTGGCCAAGGCCATGGCTTCACATCCATCGATGCAAAGAAATCCTTTTGCCCACGGAGATCCGGTGCGACGTATGCACACAAGAGTGTGAAGAATGATGCGATTGCGAAAGCTTCATAACAATCCTAGTAATAAGTTAGATTTCAGATACCTAAACTGTGACATAAACTATTCTCACCCGTGCGACTTCCCAATATATTGCATGCCAGTACCATACATATGAAAGCCATGAAGTTATAGCATAGATGGGAATCATGAGCAGAATGCGGATAATGCTAACGGGTTCAGTTAGCCGGAGTGTTCGTGAGTGACCCAATAGCAGGACTTACTGTTTCTGTTCATTTGGTTTTGTGTAATGGGCGGCGTGTCGGAATATCAAGAAAAACGAGATGATTGTAGCTATAATAGCGCAGGCCTGTAGACAATGCCTCAAGTCAGTATTTTCCCCGCTTTACTCAACGCGTTTTCAGAGAACGGAGTTGAGCAATCAAAATAAGTAGGAATTGTGAAGTATGTGCATACACCGCATATCATCCATCCTAAGGTATGCAGATTCAAGTTTCCCACGATCTTCTCCGTCTCCCCTAGATTTGCAAACGGTAGCCATGAAATTAGCGATCATGTTCGAGGATCGAGGAAGGGGTATCTGCCAGAAATGACATACAGTGAGTTTCGGACAGGGTCACATTGCAGTGAACCATTGTGAGCGTGAGTCTCGTCACTCGTACGAGATGATGGGGGGAAGATATTTGATCGAAGGCCTATATTGTACTCGTAAAGCGTATAGGAGGAGGAGGCTCTGGCATAGAATTAGGGGAAGGGAACGGTCGGATGCCCAGATAGACACCCGATATCCTGGAGGAGAGCTGACACGAACAGGGTACAGTAAGATTGACAATGACGAAAAGGGTACATCTCGGGCCGCGTGGATTTCTTGGATTAGGTCATAGGGTAATACCGGTGCCGGTATTATATATTCGCTTGAGCCCGTCGAATTTTGCCAGAGGGTTCGTGGCCGGCACAAAATTCGCACCTCCTTACCCGCATTCCCGCCCCGATTGGGGAAACAGCTTGGATAAGAATGGTTTAACTGTGGCTCAGCAGTGGGCGCCACTCCGGGGCTTCGCCACTGAGAGATCACTCCTCATGACTTTAAGGGCCCACACTATGACCCCGTTCGGTTGGCTAGAGAGAGAAAAATGGATATCATAGCTAGTGCTCGAGTACAGTAATATCTATGAAGGGAATATCTTTTTTTTTGGAGGCAATAGAGGCATTCAGCCGGGGTCGAAAAAGTATTTTTCGAGGGCGAAGTTTCGAGTGGGTTTGCCAGATTTGTATGATGATGTGCGAAAAAGGCGTTACACACGCCAAAGCCCTTCAACCCGGACTCGTTTTTCAACCCCGGGGCTGAATGCGTCAACGGTTGCTCTGTTAAGTCACCAAAAGATAAGGATTGTGTCATATCCTGGCATAGCACAACCTTGCATATGGATAAAGATAGTAGCAAGTCATTCTCTCCAAGTAGACTACCGGTACTTGTACACTGCTCTGAAATACTTAGCCAGCGTACGGATAGTCTATGGGACTGAGTGGAGTTTCTGGTGGCAATTAAGATTGATATTGCTGTGTCAATAACCCACGAGCTGTCAGGGGGCGATGTGCTGCAGAAGGCTCTGACAGTTGAGGTGGGCGTGTATTTGCAATTGCTTTGATTAAGTATATTGGGCAAAGGGTAGGGTAATTACTTGTGCTTCTGCTGTTCAGCCTCTTCTTCTTGCTCAGTGTTTTTTTTTCCTTCTTCTTTTCAAAAACGACCTTGAGGTGATTCTCAGAATCAGAAATTTACGCTGCTTCGGCTGGCCACCCATTCAAGCACAATCCATGGGTTGGTGTCTGGTGTCGGATCCATAGATTTGCCCCCCCCCCCCTAATCATAGATTCTCGTGGTATTATCATAACTGAACGGGGCCTAATTCAGTAACGTCAAGCCCTTGAATTCTGTGCTCGAGCAATGACCCGGCGCTCATGGCTACCGGTGGCTTAGAGATCAAATTCCTTATTTTTGACCCGAACCTTTTCTTCCGTTCTCCATGCGGAAAGTTCAGCACCCGCCAATTTTCACCAAGAGAAAACCCAGGAAAGACGCAGTACCGGCGCAGTGCGAAGATCGTATCATACTATCATACTATGCTCGTGCAGCACTGTACGAGTACTTCAGTAATACTCGTAGACCGGACCCCGCTCAGCTAGAGTAGGCGCACCCTCAGCGACGCGCGGTGCTGTCTGGAAAGTAGGCACTAATATTAACCACAATAAGAGATTTTGAATCCCCGCTGCCCTTTTTTTGGGGGGCTGTTCTATCAGATTCAGTCTATGGTTGGAAATTGGAACGGGACCGGCCTTGTCTGTTAACTTAGACTGCAAATAGACTACGGAGCCATCGCAAAATTCCAACCATATTCAAGCCACTTCCCTTGCATTGTTTAGGGCCGAGGATCTGAATGACTAAGGCGGGGGGTGTATTTCTTGGGGTCATAATTATTATGAAAGAATTTACTGTATCCAAATCCGTTGGCCTAGGCATTGTGCGTGGACAAAATTAACCACAATTCAACAGAGGAAAATCTTCGGCGATGACAACCACACTCATCCACCAATCCACTATCATGAAAACCAAAAAAAAAAAATTAAAAGATGTAAATACATAGTAGAAATTAATATTTGGTATACCATCCATCAGCCTTAATAATTGCCTCTATTCTATCCACCATTGATCCAGCTAAAGTATCAAAAACCTTTGGGTCAAGAAGTTCCCAACAATGAGTGATGGCCTCTACTATTGCCTTCTTGACCACATTGACATCACCCTTCATAATATATAGCTCAGGGTAGTGCTTGTGAAGCTTACCTTTCACCAGAGACCAAATATTTTCAATTGGATTGAGATCTGGTGAATAGGCAGGAATTTCTATCAGTGTAATTTCCTGTCCTCTGAGCCATCTCCTAAAAGGCAAGTGAGTCTTAGCATTGTCAATGATAAAAAATACCTCTTCTTCTCCAGCCTTTTCTCTGATATTCTCCCATATCCCTAGAAAGTCATAATGATCATAAACATCAATAATTGACTTCCCAGTAACTCCACCCCTAGCAGAAGAAGGATCAGGAAAAACAGGCAAAAAAAAAACCATGAGTTTGACTATAAAAACAACCAGTCATCATCTGGCTAATCCCTCTCTCCCCTCTCCTAGCCTTAGGTTCAACACAATCCTTATTCCATTTCTCATATAGGTATCTGAAAACCCATTTTCTCCTCTTTCCTCCTCCCCTTTCTACAGCTACCTCATCCCTCCACATTGCCTTCCTTCTCTACATCTCCTTTGTCCAATGCCTATGAGCTAATGCCTATTCCAACCTCTCTTGAGCTAGATTCTCATCCAAATGAACTCTCTCTTGTGCCATCCACTTTCTAAGATGCTTTTTTTCAAGTCTTCTCCTTACTGTCCTACTAGAAACATTGGGAGCAACTTACTCAAGAATAGGTAGTATGGCGATTTTTAAGAGCTTCCTCCACCATAGCATCATCCTATGACTTGGTAGTTTTAGGATGTTTTCCTCTACTCTTATTCTCCTTGTCCTCTTGATGTCCCTTTGCAATTGTGTCTCTGATAGTAGTGTAGGGGATATTAAGGTAGTAGGAAATTTGATGATATCTCATCTGAGGCTCGTATAACTCGAGAATCCTCCCCCTGGTAAACTCAGAGAGATGTGTGGAGGGAATAGGTTTTTTGGCATGACTGTGAAGAATAGGAGGTATAGTTTATTGAAAAAAAGAATTGAGCAGAATGGTTTCTTCTTGGTTGACTTAAAGCAATTTTTTTAGGTACTGTTGAGAGTGCAGGGTGATGAAGAAGGATGGGTTGCCACCAATTGTTGAATCGTGGTTAATTTTGTCAATACACAATAGGTAGCATTAGAGTTCAATTTAGCTCTGCATACTGCAGTTCCAAGAATCAGTAGCTAAACGTCAGTAAAGATGAGTTACTCCGGTGCGATAACGTGAAGTGTCCAAGTCAGTGAAAGGTCAGGCTCTAAACATTCAACCGCCTATGAGGCATATATCTGTCTAATACCCGAGTAGCCTTTTACAGATGCATGGATGATATTCAAATTTGTCCAAGTCGGTTGGCAATAACCTCACATATCCGGGCATTGTGCTGATATCTAGTGCCACAAAGTGGGCAATTCTGCGGGCTACGGCCAATAGTGGTACTTCTGTGGGTCTGAAATTTATGCCTCTGGCTCTGATAGTGACCACGACTAATGAAACTTGTGTCTCTTGTATAAGTTACTGCATCTATCCCTCTAGCGACCTTGTGCATCGGGGGTCTAAGTTCACCGGGTCAGGCGGAGGACATGAATATGCCTCACTTTCCGAGACTGCATCCCTCTTGGGTTTTTGTCATTACGGAGCCTTCCTTCCTAATGACGCAGCCACCAGAAAACCACGATTCTGCCAAAAAATGAGAGGGTCATCGAAGACTAGCTACACACTCCCTTTCTCGACGACCAAGCTGCGAAATTCCTTTACCTATATCGCTAGTACTTCGACGATAACTCCCCTCTTACCAGCTGCCCACTCTTTTCAAACATCTCTTTTTTCGAACCTCCAAGAGGACCATTTCTTTGGGATGCCCTCGATCGTGTCTACCGGCGGTATCCACATGACAACCTCCTCGAAAAATACGAGATGTCGCCAGTTACTCGGCTCATCATTACAGGCGTGAGGATCTTAGGATGCAATTCTGCTAGCGTGCCAATGCACACATCGATCAGCAATTATGCATGAAAATTAAGTGTTGTGCTTTTTCAGTTTGGCAGTGTCTACACGACATCCCGACACTAATTGCCAGGATGCTGCGCCTAGTGTGTGGTAGAACACCCACTCTCGGAGGAAAGTCCTGGGGCTTTAGGTGGAGTTTTTATTCTCTATTTTTTTCTTGATCCGCTGATCCATCTGCTGATAGTCCCCTACTATCGTAAAATCGTGAAATCCACTATCTCTGGTGGCTCTGTAATCCGCGGATTCTGGGTCAAAGGCTCCAAGGAGGATTAACGCCCTTTTGGCGCAGTAAAAATCAGCCCTCAATAGGTGTTTGACCTCATTAACCGGTATTCGTAATTTCGCCAACCTGCCCAGCTAGACATATAGTCATAGAGACGGTGGGTTTTATGCGATTACACGGTATTCCTTTTGCTCCAACGCTGTTTATGGACTGCAATATCATATCATAGGTCCCTATTAGATGTTCCGGACACTTGCGACTCCGGAGTTTAAAAAAGTTGACTGTGATTAAGGTTTAGGTGTCAAAGCACACCTGGAACCTGGTATGGATAGCCAGCGCCTATGGCACGACAAGTCGCCCTCTAAGGAGTCATAGCTACTCACTCGCTTAGACCACTCTTAGATTTTGTTGGACATATCCACACACGTACAGTACATGCCAGTACTGTACACGTCAGCTGAGCTCACTAGCTCTGAAAATTTTCTTCCCATATGATATATCTTCCTTCTTTTCTACCCTCCACTTCTTATTTCTCACTTTATCGAACAATTGACAAACCTCTCCTTTCCTACTACAATTTCCCCTTCATACTTTAAACCTCTTTTCTCCTGTCTCTGTGCAACATCCAGTCTGATCATTTCCCATTTCCAACAGATTGCTGCATTATGACAAGGAGGCGTCGCATGTCGAGCAACTTAGGGTGGATTTCAGAAGAGTTGTGAATTTTTTTCAGCAATATCAAGGCTTCGGTGAGTTGATGTCAGAAACTGATGGGTTGACCATATACTCTCCTATGGTTTCTTACAGAGCCCCCCACCGCCTGCTACAGGATACTACTACTCATCACACCACTTTCCTCTAGGTTGAAATAAGGATCTACAATTTATTTTTTCTTAATTACACACGTATATCCAATCTTGGGGAAGGGGGGGGGTTATAGGGAGCCAAATAGAGTAAAATTTAGACTCTTTTTCAGGATCTCATAGGTCTACGTGTTTTGGCGGACAACACCAGGGCTCGCATGGTAAAGTGGATAATAAAGGCAATTCCCGCGCTCGCAGGAACCCACCTGCTCCAATCGCAAAGCCGAACGCTTAAATACCGGACATAACAAACGTTATTCCAACGTACATCTCTGGATACCCAGCTTTCAGAATCCTTATATGGTTATAGACCTTTAGGTAGACTCCTTTATCGTCCTTAAACTGGTGAGGTCCTTTTTCTTGAAGCGGTGAACGCACCCTGCTTGACCAAAGAGTGGTAGAAGTGGAAGGAGAGATAACCTGGACAATCTCAATCTTGCTTGAATACGATGCTCGTGCCATCGCTGACAAGTGGTTGACAATCTTGGACCCTCAGCTGGTAGCGAAAGGGCTACATGATATCAAAGGATGAAGGGGTAGAACTGCGGTGACTAACACGAGCCTGGTGATGAAGATGTTGATGGCAGCAGGATTCCTGCTACACATGCATTCACACTAGCGGTTTAATATCAAGTACATCAAATCCAACCCCCCCTTTTTTGGGGGGCAACTATCAGCAAAGTTTTTAAACGGCGATAATCAGTAATGCACAAAAAAAACGACTCCGATAGCCAGCATACGACTTTGGGGCAAGTGGGGAAGTTTTTTATTATTATTCTCACCTGACTACCTAACCGGTAAAGGCAGGAGTATATATGAATCACAGCAAAGACATCCTTCTATCTTTCCATCGATCGCCACACATATCTGCTATTGTCTACGCAAGTTCCCCTTTTCTCTGCGTACTTCTATGCTAACAAAAGAAAGACAAGCTCCACAAAGGCTCCCACTGCTCGTAGCCTCCGCTCCGCTCAGTCCCTTTGACTCTTCTATACTACTCCCGACTGATACACCACTTCCTCTCATGCATGCGTTAATCCAAAGCGCATCCCCGAAACCTCTATCCGAGCGAGTGGAACAATATCCTGGGCATGCCGAGCAGCATCTACTTTTAACAGATATCTCGGACCTAGTGGTTCATTAAGCCCATCTGGTATCATCTGGTGCCCATGCTCATGAGGTCGGCGAAGAAGGCAATACAATCACGACCACTCACCCTTGCTGGAGGAGGAAGGCGGTGATGTGGCTGAGATTAGCTAAGCCCCCCACGATACCATGACGACACTACGGGGGAACAGGAGGGTGATATCGGAGTGGCTTCCAATAGTTGTGATCGGTTGTGAGTCTTTCGAGAGATCCCATGCAATGAATGCTAGGGGACGAGATGCTAAGTGGCGGGAAGTTGGGTGCTGCGAGCAGTGAGCCGAGTAGGGTTTTGAGTAGAACTGGTGGGTTTTAGTGTTTTGTAATCAATCTTCAGACTACCGCAGTCGTGAGAATAACTCTCTTTGAGGAAGTAGTGCATTGGCTCTCACTCGGAAACAACGGCAGGAGGGCCAGGGTATGGTGGGATCAGGTGTGGTTCGGAGGAGTATTATATCTTAAACTAATTTGAATATATCTATATTTACCGCAAGATGACTTATTATTACTTGCAAACGCGTAACAGTGAGAGCCATATCCTCCGTTCTGCTAAGCAATTGGATGTAGAAATCTCCATCACATAAGCACCATGGCAGCAGCACTTGAAGACTTTACAGAGATGCGAAGAAACTTACTAAAGTGCCAATGGGGCAAAAGTGCGATAACTTCTTATTCTGCTCAAGCAGCAGGCAGCGGTAATTTAAGTTATTTCCACAGACTTCCAATGGTTTAATAATTCCTGCATGCGGTGCACAAAGTCGTAGATCGCTAAAGGCTTCCGTTGAGAAAGAGTCCAAGCATTGTGCCATGATAGGGTGTCTTTTTTCCTTCCCCCCTTCACCATCCCCAAACTCGCAGATGAAGAATAAGATTCTGAGTGAAAGAATAATGGGCTGCCCGGGTTCCCGAGATTTCAGATTTCCACGACTTACTGGCATCGGTAGATAGCCATTACATGTCGAGGGGCGAAGGGGAAGTTATTCCCAGGAGCAGTACTAATAAACGCATCACGGTATTGTGATTGGCTCCCGCTACCCCCTTGTTATGCTCTTGATCGTTCATACGCACATGACCACAACCATACAGAAATGGTAGCAGATGTCTAGCACGTGCGACTAGTAGCCGATTTTCACACCCGCTCACTCGTAATACTACTGGTACTCATTGTTGTAATTCTTGTTTGAAGTTGTATCATATCATACTTCTTGCTTGATTGATGCTTTACCAGGGGGCCACCGGGCCCCATTTATGCTACAAGAGAGCATGCTACAACCATCCACGACATGAGCTTCGCGCAAGAGAAAGAGAAAAATCAACAACAATGATACTAGACAATATGAGTATAGTAGTAAAGGGAAAGAAAACGCGAGTGAGGAAACCAAATAAGTACTAAGATAGAGTTTCCGAGGAAACTCTACTATAGTCAACCATGTAATGAGCTCAACTAGTAATGAGCTCATACCAAAAACATTCTGTCGTAGTCAATAACAAAGCCGATGCATATTTGGAAGTCATATTACAACACTCATGAGTTTACCAGACGATAGCACATTGCATGACAAAGCAGACAGTCTATCACTCCGGAAAATTAGAAACGGTTCTATCAGTCACCGACCAAGCAAAGTGAGTCACTCGCCCAATTCAACACCAGTAGATTTGTAAGTCGGAGTTACCGGGAGATTAACTGCAAAGGGAGCGGCGCTAGTACAGATCTTCCTACACATAGACCCTAACCCACGCATCTCTCACGGAGTGCCCTGCCAAGACTTGCCTTTGAAATCCACCAAGGCCCTTCTGGAGTATATTCTCAAAGGCTCCCTCTCTCCCTCCCTCCTATAATTCTCTCCTCGTCCCCTAAGCAACTACACCACCTCTACTACAACAAATATCCGGGGTTTTTTCTTTCTTAAAAAAAAAAAAAAAAGGGAAAAGTAAAAGGAAAAGAAACAAGACAAACTAAGACGAAATGGCTCGCAGACCTGCTCGTTGCTATCGTTACTGCAAGAGTATGTATTAAAACCATGCTACGGGGAGACATGAGGCAGAGCTAATAGAGGCCACCAGACAAACCGTACCCAAAGTCCCGTTTCAACCGTGGTGTCCCTGATCCCAAGATCCGCATCTTCGATCTTGGCCGCAAGCGTGCCACCGTCGATGAGTTCCCTCTCTGTATACACCTCGTCTCGAACGAGTACGAGCAACTCTCTTCCGAGGCTCTCGAGGCAGCTCGTATCTGTGCGAACAAGTACCTCGTCAAGACCTCCGGGAAGGATGGTTTCCATATGAGAATCCGGTATGTTCCCCCTCCCCGCTGATGATCTGGAGTACATCGCGACTAAACAGTGATTTAACAGAGCTCACCCCTACCATGTTACCCGTATCAACAAGATGTTGTCCTGTGCCGGAGCGGACAGGCTCCAGACCGGTATGCGTGGAGCTTGGGGGAAGCCCAATGGGACAGTCGCTCGTGTCAATATTGGACAGATTATTCTTTCCGTTAGAACTCGTGATGGCAATCGTGAATCTGCCATTGAAGCTTTGAGGAGGTCTCAGTACAAGTAATATCCCCCTTTCCTCTCCCCGCCCCCCATCCCTTGGTCAGCCGCTAACACACCTTCTACAGATTCCCCGGCCGCCAAAAAATCATCGTCTCCAAGAACTGGGGTTTCACACCTCTCCGTCGCGAGGAGTATCTCAAGAAGCGTCAGAACGGAGAACTCAGAGCTGATGGTGCTTACGTCCAGTTTTTGAGGCCCCACGGAAGACTGGAACAGAATATGCGCACATTCCCAGAGGCATTCGTCTCTGCCTAAGGGAGGTTGTGTTATTGCGCTTTTGTTGGCGTTAACCGGTTGGTAGAGGATGGCTATTTTAAAATAAACAATTTTTTTGTATGCATGTTTTGTACTTTAGAGTGAAAAATGCTGCGTACGAAATCTTGAGTGGCGAGCTCCAAAAATTGCGAAACTGTGTGATATGTGGTTTCAAAAAATCGCGAACTGCCAGTCGAGAAAATTTCGCTTCAGCTTGCAGAATTTCTGTAAAGATATCATTGGCATGACGCTTCTTCCAGCAGCCCCAAGATGCCAAGATAATTCTCACAGACCACAAAGTTGACAATGATACACTGATATAATACCAGCGGAAAAGCGAATTGCGAGGAATCACTCTCCCGTTAGGTAGACTAAAAAATTTGTTCCTTTTCTCACTTTCTTAACCCTCCCGTTCTGAAAGCACATTAAAATTTGTTAGTTGATGACAAATACACACACTTCTTATCGATTGCCACTCTGAACTTCCCCACCAACACCTCCATCCCAATAAAAAAAGAAATCCGTTCCACCACAACGACCACCACACAACCACACCACAACATAATAATCGAATACATCACAGCATAACACACAACTAACCACGACACAAATCCAAACCATGAGCGCGATCCTCAGCGCTGACGACCTAAATGACTTCATATCCCCAGGCGTTGCCTGCATAAAACCGATTGAAACACTTCCCGCCGCTCCCAATCCGCCGCCGGCCAACTCCTACGAAGTTATCCTAGAAGACAAAGCGCCCCCAACAGATCTCCCACCCGCACAAATTTCACTAACAGACTGCCTCGCCTGCTCTGGCTGCGTCACGTCTGCCGAAGCGGTCCTCGTCTCCCTCCAATCCCACAACGAAGTCCTAGCGAATCTAAACGCTCACCCGAAGAAGTTATTCGTAGCGCTGATATCCCCGCAGTCGAAGGCGAGCCTTGCTACAGCTTATGGTGTCAGCGCCGATGTTGCTGGACACATGATTGAACGATTGCTATGTTCTCCAGAGGGGATTTGCCGAGAGGGCAGGGGGTTCGATCTTGTCCTAGATACAAATGCTACTAGGGAGGTTGCGGTGAGATGTGCTGCTGAAGAGGTTGTTATGGCTATGCAGGGGGGTAAAGATGGAGTTAATGGGAGGAAAATGCCGATATTGACGAGCGCGTGTCCAGGTTTTGTGTGCTATCTGGAGTCTACCCAGCCGGCGTTGATCCCACACTTGTCGAGACTGAAGAGCCCGCAGGCGATTTTGGGGACAGCAGTGAAGTCACTATTGCACAAGGATGTGGAGGACGGAGTGAAGGGGATTTATGTGGTTGGTGTGATGCCATGCTTTGATAAGAAGCTTGAAGGGGCGCGTGGCGAGTTGACCTCTGGGGCGTGGATGGAAAGAGAGGGAGAGGTAGTCCGAGACGTGGACTGCGTAATTACCACCCGGGAGTTAATATCTCTTGCGCAAGCCAGAGGTGTGGACTTTGCTACCCTCCCGCAGAGCCCACCACTCCCCCCCCCTTCTGGTATCGCCTCCAACCTCCTACAAACCCTCAAACGCCCCACAGAATCCACCACCACCAAAACTAGTCCCATACCAGGAACCAGCGACGGCTACCTCATCCATATCGCAACCCACATCTTAACCCTCCACCCAACCTCCACCCTGCGTATCGAGCCGGGCCGCAACTCGGACACAATAGACTACGTAATTTCCACCCCCGAAAAGACAATAGCTCGCCTATCCCGCTGCTACGGATTCCGCAACATCCAAAACCTTGTCCGCCGTCTAAAGCCCGCGAAAACCCGTGCTCTCCCGCGGTTTGGAAAAGCCTCTGCTACAACCTCGCAGCGCAAGCCTCTAGCCACCGCCGCCGCAAGACAAGCAGGCGTAAGGTCGGAGGCGGAGTACACTTATGTTGAAGTCATGGCCTGTCCTGGCGGCTGCACCAATGGCGGTGGGCAAGTTCGGTATGACGACGAGATTATCGCTTCGGGGCTTGTCGCGGGGACGCAGAAGGAGTGGTTGGGGAGGGTCGATGAGACTTATTATTCGTCTGCTGAAGATGAAGAGAACAGAGAGGAATGTGCCGCAGCACAGGGGGAGTGGGTGGAGAGGTTCGTGGAGGAGTGGGAGAATAGGACGGGCGTTTCTAAAGATAAGTTACTGTTTACTGGATACCGGAAGGTGGAGAATGATTTAGGGGGCAGGTTGAAGGAGGTTAGTGTTGTGGAGTTGGCTAGTAAGGATGGCGGGGGGTGGTGAACTCTCTTGCTCTACTTTCTCACTCGGTGGTAGTTATTTTGGTGTGATAGAGGGGGATAGGATTTACGTTGGCGTTGGTTAGATGTCTAAATCACGGGTTTTCGCTAGTAGGGTATCATAATATCATAGCATGGTTTTTCGCCTGTAATTCGTGGCTCATTTGACAGCGGTCCGGTTTTCTCCATCACTTTACGTCACTCGGATTTACTTTTGAGAGATATAGAGCGCGACAGGACAAGGTATGATACTGCAGAAAGATCGTTCCCATACCTCCTTCCTTCCTTGCTTCATTCGGCTACCGAACCCCCAGTACCGGGGGGGGTGGATAGCTTGCAAGCCCCTTCTACGAGTACCGTACTAGTACAACCGCACAAGCTCCCAACTACCAAAGTGCAAATACAAGTACAGTACCAATAGATAGTCCAGAAACCGCACCCCGAGGACATTACCGTAAAAAAAACTCTTGGAATTCGCCATCTCCGCTGTGCTCACGAATATCCCTGTGAATGGCGAGATCAACCCGAGATGGGTTTAGCTCCGCAAGTTGACAGAATTGCGAGAACCAGTTAATTTAACGAGATCCAACACAGTCTATGACTACAGGCTATTCCACGTCAGGAAGGAACTAATCCCTCCCTTAAGGACCTTTGCCTCCGAATCCCGAGATTAGCGACTCAAGGGAGATGGCGAATTCCAAGATTCTTTTTTTACAGTACGGTACTGTACCGCACATGATCAGGGCCCACGCGCGCTGGGGTGTTTTCCGGAAATTTGGATAGGGGGCGCGGAAATGGGATACCTGTACGAGTACAGTAGGAGGCATCATTGCTTGTCACTCGGTTTTGGTCCCTAGGAGGTGAGCATCGAACTCTATTCAACTTAGCGTAATCATGGGTTTAGCAAGTCATATATAGATATGGGTCAGGAAATTGGTCAGCCGTGGCAAAACAATGCGTAATTTGTCTGCGTAAAAGGGGGGGGGGGGGTTATTATGGGTTATATAGTATCTACTCGTCGTGTCGTGACGTTTGTGAAATGGACCGGGCTTGCATGGTGGCGCATGCATGTGCAGGGAGGTGCATGGAGCTACGGAAAGAGCCTCAAGGTATAAAATTCAGCATGAGTGAGAAAGTAAACAAATATATAGATATTTATTATACATTATAATATGAGAAGTAATAAACAAAAATAATGAATAAAAAGATGAAACATTAGAAATACAATATTAAAATTAAAAATTAAAAATTAAAGTTATTTCCACCGTCATCTTTGATACATGCCTCAATTCGTTCATGCATTGAGTTGATATGAAAATTGATTCGCTCTTTAGAATAGTTATTCCATGTCTATAATTAATGTAAGTAAAAAAAATAAAAAAATAAAGAGATAGATTAAACAAGTATTTACCTCTTCTAAAACAAGTCTAATTTGTCGTGCAGTCATTCTGGGTCCAATTCTCTCCTGTAGAATATCCTTTAGCTCAGTCCAAACAGTCTCGATTGGATTTAAATCCAGCGAGCTTGGAGGCCAAACTAGCTTCATAAAACCAAGTTTCTCTCGAGGAATATTATGATAATGGTGAACATGTACTGGAGCATTGTTCTCCATTATTATAATATTCCTCTGAGGAAACTCAGTTGCTAGTTGAGCAGTAAAAGGATAGAGAAGTAGGTTGAGAATACGTTCCCAGTATATATACCAATCGATTCCACCCCTTCTATCCTCCTTCCTCGTCTTGAGCTGGGGGTTTGGAAAAGGTACCTCCAATCCCAATGAGCTAGCATGTACATTTTGTGCTAACTCATTCTCATACTCTCTCTTGAGAGTAAGAAGTGCCTCCTTTCGCTGAGTCGTAGTCTCATATGGTGTAGTGTACATATGGTATGGAAGATCATGACCTTAATTGTTATTATTAATTCAATTAGCATTAAACATTATGTACAGGGTAGAATAGAAAAATAAAACTTGTAAAATAATAATAATAATAATAATAATAATAGTAATAATAATTTATATATATACATACTGGCTTTTCCATAACATATAGCACCCCAAAACATAATAGTTGCTCCTTGAGCAAACTTTCTGTTAATATTTTGTGGCCGATGAGCTTCACCTACCTGACGTAAAACTCCACGGGCCCGTCTGGACCTCAGGCTTCCCGTTTCAAAATATGACTCATCTGTAAAGATGATGTTCCTCCAGTCGTACCCTTGGTATTGATAGCAAAAGGCCAGCCTCCTGGCTGTCTGCTCTGGAGAAAGAGTTGATTTTGTAACCAGTTTCTGTCGATAAATCTTGTTTTCACATAGTGCTTTTGAAATTGTTTGTCTACTAACACTTAGTTCCGCTTTTTTATTTTTTATTTTTATATTAGCTACACTTTCAATTTTGTATATTTAGGGAAAAAAAAGAAAAAAAGAAAAAAAACAACCTGCTTCGGCGAGTTGTGTAAAGGTCATTCTGCAGTGCTCAGCATCTTGCAGAGTGACTTCAACCAAGTGATCCTTTTGAGCCTGTGAGAGGGCAGCATTTGTACACTTCACCAAGTTTGGCAGAGGAGCTAGGTTTTCATCAGTACAAAGATCAGAAGTATTGTTGTCACTAGCCCGTTGACGCGCTGTCTAGATGATGTTTGAGCAGGTACTTATTAGCACCCCAGTTTTTTCTGAAATTTCCTTCAAGGTCATCTTTTGGGCTCTATCTAGCATGGCATAGCCAATGATTTGTCCCTGTTTGACCATAGAAGTTGTTGGTCCTCTTGGCGTAGGCATTTTGCTTGTTGACTTCGTGGTTGTAGATACTGGAATAAATGCGTAATGTTTACTTTCTCCTTTTTGAGGTTATGGCCTCTTGTCTTAATAATATACTAATTACTCTACTAAGCCTATTTGAAGTTGGCATGGGTCTCCATGCACCTCCTTGCGCCACCATGCACCTCTGGTCCATTTCACAAACGTCACGACACGGCGAGTACAGTGCCGCCTGATGGATCACAGACCGAGTGTCAGCAGGGGAGGGTGGGAACAAAACAAAGCATGCTGTGCAAGTAGAACCTTATTATCCCTTCCACCGCTGAAATATGCTGCACTAAGTAGGGATTTCCAAGCCACACCAAATTCATCCCACACCAACTCCATCATGGTTTCTTATTGGCTGAAATTGTCCCAAACAATACCCTATGCACACTAACATGGTTTTGTCAAGAATCCTCCCAGCCACTGAATTTTAGCAAGAGAGTATGAGGAAACCTTGAGATTCTAATCCAAATTTCAGCAGCTGGCCATACTCTGAGGGAAGAGGTACAAGTGCTCTGCTCACTGGGTTGAAGTTGACCACTTTGTATGAGAATTTTCATCGGACACTTGCATTTGAAAAGTTCTTGTAACCACACCGGTATTTTCATGTATCTGTGGCCATTTTGTAGCTGGTACTAAAATACAATGTGAGCCACAACTAAAAGAAGGTACCACTGTAGTTATATGAATTTTTCAAATGCAAGTGTATGTGTCCAACTTCAACTCAGTAGTAGGAGTAGAAAATTAATATTATAATAGCAAGCTTGATGAATGGTAGTGAAAATCAGTCTAACAAGTACCGCTTGTATAGAGTACAACATCACATACATTACAGGTCCACTACATCTGACCAGCTCTCTTTCTTTGTATACTATTAATAGAGATCTCGTCATAAAATTCCCTTTCTTTATAGCTGAGTAGATTGCTCTATAATGATAGCAATAGACTCGCTTTTCCAGTACCTTCTAATTATGTTCCTGTATTTTGATTACTTCCTCCACTTGGACTGCCTTCTCTGGGTGTGCTTGGCCGGTAGATATTGAAGGCAATACAGACTCCATGAGAAAAAACTTGCTCTGAGAAGCAGAATAGACTACTTCAAAGATTTGCCTGGAACTCTTTATGTTTCATATACCCATTTCCATAAAGCTGCTGTCCCATCAAATAAGCATTAAGAATTGCTGTATCAAGTATTCAAAAAAAAAAGAAAAAAAGATACTAAGACTGTAGGGCAATTCACTGTGTTGAATAATATATATGGAGTTGATCGGTAATGTCAATCCCCCTTTCGATAAAGTAGTTATAGTTATCAATAAATGTGGGAATTGCTAGGTCTTTCTGCTTTTCTTCTCCAAAGACCTTTCGTACAAGTGACCTATTTGTAGATGTAAGTTGAGGTAATTATCTGGATCCAATAATGGAATATTCTTCACGAAATTTGCGAATAGTAGAATAGGCAATTACAGTATTATTATCTTACCAAGCATAGTAAATGTAACGTGTTCGCAAGGTGCTAATCACGTTATCGGTAATAGATACGATAGTTGGCAGGTGGCCTGCTCTTCCAGAGAGGAGGCGAGAGCTGAGAACTAAAGGAGGCTTCGAGGGTGTACTGGGGAACAAAGAAGTAACCGTTCAACCAAGTATATTGAAATACTGTCTGTCGAAGTCTGCCTTTTCTATCGTAGAAATAGGCGGTCTTTAAATACACAAATCTGTTCATGTCTAGCATGAACGAAACTAATCAAAGGTATCAATCGATACACTTTGGTAAAACTTCTTAAGTATCGAAGCGATACTTAAAACCAAACATAAAACAAAACCAAGTATCAAATGATACTCAAAACAAACCAAGTATCAAAGTGATACTTAAAACCAAACATAAAACAAAACCAAGTATCAAAGCGATACTTAAAACAAAACATAAAACACAACCAAGTATCAAACGATACTTAAAACAAACCAAGTATCAAAGTGATACTTAAAACCAAACATAAAACAAAACCAAGTATCAAACGATACTTAAAACAAACCAAGTATCAAAGCGATTCTTAAAACAAAACATAAAACAAAACCAATAACCAAGTACCCGTACCGGTTACAGTAAATAACTCCAGAATCCGATGTATCAGACTCCTATTAAGACTCCTTATTTTCTATATTATTCTTAACTTTAATCTGTTTTCATACCACTATTGCTATAGTTGTATTCCATTTCAAACACTTGGAGCAATGGTCCTTAAGATCAGGAAGAAATCCTGGAAACTCAGGATGGCGTCGAGTTATTCCACAAGCTCCAATATTCAGAGTTCATAGCTTACAGAGAAGTAGAATTCTAGTAAAGTAATTATCCATGTAAATAATATATGGTACATCTTTTTGTAGTTTTTGAGCAAGTTTATATACCATTGATTCAGTAGGTAAAAGATCAGATATTCTTACCAGTTTACCATAACTATCAGTTTTTGATGACCACATAAAGTTATATGTATAACCAGCTTCGCAGAGTGCAAAGATATTATAATCCTCTTTAATTAGTTTATTTGGTACTTTAAATGTATGTTTACTGTGGCCAAAAAAGTGTACCATTATCTCATTAATAAAGAGATTGTATTAGGTGGAGACAATCTGATAGACTTCAGAGTTGTCTAAGCTAATCGAAATTCATTTTTGTAGACAGAGATTGTCTAGGAAGGCTCACACTCACTATTTTTATTTATAACTATTAGGAGTGAAGTAAATTCGGTAAAGTAAAATAGAATCGTAAAAACAATATTATATTGTTAAGGTTTCTTCTCCATTGCTTGATGATGTCTAAAGCTTGAGAGGCACTTGGATATTTATATTCTGCATCTGAGTGTTCGCGGACTACATCTATTTATTATGCCACTATATACCATTCTGATTATAACTTGTAACATCACATATTCTTGAAAGGTGCGAACACCTGGAGACCCTGAAAATCATCACACTCTTTTTGCTAATTATAACATAACTAACTTCAAACCATACTGTTCCCAATAGTAGTTATCTGATCTTTGGAGTCTTTAGACTTGTGGCCTAGTTTTCAAGTTGAACTGAGTTGGCTTCAATTGTCTTCATTATTGATGAAATGATCAGTTTCATCTGCAGGTTGTATCTGCAAAGGTAGTCGTAATTGTAAACCTTTTTTAGTCGCCTAACTTTAAACTTCCATAACTCCTTATCCAACTGATAAATGTCTTCCAGAAGGCTTCCTACTAATTCGCACAAAGCTATTCTACTGGATGGACAATTATTCTCTCTGTTGGCAACCATTGGTTGCTTTGGGTAACAGGACTTCAATCACTGTTGTAGTATGGGAAGTTGTCTTCATAAGTACAACGTATTCCGAAACCTGGTTGCAATACTCCGTGAAGTCTAATAACTTCTATAGTAGTATTTTTCGGAGTTCTAGATTCTTCTAGATATTATAGGGTGGGTGTGAATATATTGGTCTCTTGCTGAGATCCTTTACCATTCAATACCATCTCTTTATACAGAAATGTCCCGTTACCTACAGTTTATACCAAAGGTATCACATCTTTGAAGCCTAGTAGCGTTCTGAGTAGTTGACGGATTTACTCTGTTCTACTTCTCAGACCTAGCTGAAGGTACTCTCTCATATATCCTGCGAACAGGATCCGGTTTAATAGACGGTGGTGATGTATATAGTATTATTCTGATACCTTCAATTCTGTAGTATTATAGTCACAGGACGCAACTGAGAGTGATATGTATGATGACGTGCAGGCATGTAAGGGGGCCAGATGGGGGTGTTGGAGACCAGAGATTCCGATCCCGGGTGAGGTTACCCTACTTAGGGTGACTTCTGGGTATTGGATCTCGGTATTCCTAATAGATTAATACCTGATGTCCAATAAAGCGAGTACAAGGATCTGAACTCCGAAGCTACTAGCTCAAGTTTATACCACCACCCCACACTTTTCTCCTCTGCTGTATCCTCAGACTCATCACTTTTTGAGTACTGAGTTTTTGAGCTTGGCTTCACTACAGGATCCAAGATATGCATATATTTCTTAAGATTCTCAAAGCGGTTGAGAGATATATGGTCAGCGCATATAAACTTGCCGTACTTTGAGCTACAGTAGTCTTCATATGCAGGTAGGTGAACCATATCTATATAAATGAATACTGTAATAAAGACCTTAATCTTCCCTGAAATTGTTGGTACCCAAGTCCGATTTCCTTTCCTTCCTGCTTCCTTCACCTCAGCATATTTATTTGTATTCACTGCAATTATCTCAAAGTGGTCTTCTGTTAGAAACAATATAAATAGACTGTATGGATCTCTATTTATATGTGGTAGTAGCTGAAGTACATTATGGTGATGGATCTGGTAATGCAGAAGAAGCATGTACTCTGGAGGTGGTGATATTGCATCTATTAGCTCCTCTGGTGTACACTTCGGTTGTGTAATTCGTGGAGGCTTATAATTCAACCTCTTCACCTGTTTGCTTTGCTGTTTTTTTGGATCGTTCATTGCTTGATAGATTGTTCATGTTTACACATTGTTGATACTATTCAGACATGCGCCCTTCACCAGCCCCTGAGAAGCGAGGTCCGTGCACAGCGAATTGCTGCACTAGTGAACATCCCTGCTTAGTGCAGCATATTTCAGCGGCGGAAGGGATAAGTGTACGATAGTTAAATTTATCACGACCACTCTCTAATACACATGCTCTCGCTTATATTCACGTGACGACGCATTTATCATACCAACAACAATCTCGTATCATAATATTATCATACCAGAAAAAAAAAACAAGAGTTGAATCCATGATTAGAAATCCTCCTTTGTTTCCCCGCTCATTCGTATCGTACCCAAAATAACCCAAAATAGAGGTATCAAAAAGGGAAAAAAGTACAGTACTCGAGTGCCCTACCGGTGTATAACTTACGTACGTTTATAACATTAAAAATAAATCTCTTATCGTACGTATCGTAACGCGATTTTTTTTTTTTTTCGCAAATGAGCAATTTTTACCCGAGTCTCTATTTTCGAGTTTCCTCCGGCTACCGTACCGGTACAAGTACTTTGTGCACCCGTATCATGTTGGTTTAAAAGGGATTGAAGATCGTGACTGTATCTGGGGGGGGTGTCCGGGGCCCTGAATCGTCTTGCTCCTACCATAAACTAGTGGGTCAGTGGTACGGGTTATCGGGGGGGGCGGGGGCTTGAGGTTTTTCTCTTTATAGAGGTGTGATATGGGATGGGATGGGTGGGTCCGAGTCGGTTGGGTTGGGCTTTGTTGGGGGGCGGTATTGTGGCTCGTCTGGGTGAGAAGTACCGGTGCCATACTCCTACTGTACCTGGGAACGGGGATAATGCGACGGTAAGAGTACTTGTAACGGTACTGGTACAGACTCGCAGCCCATGTTTTCGGATATCATACTTTTTTCCTGTTATCATATCGGTATCATACTCGAGTAGGATGTGGGCAGGGGTCTTTGATCCTTCTTTGTGGGGATTGCACTCGTGGGATGAATGGTAGGCGTTGTTTGTTGGAGGGGGCTTGTGCGATATGCACTCTGGGTAAGGGGTTGGATTTTTGTGTTGTGGGAGTGGTGGTGTTTTGGTCGGTATCATACCGGCACTAGGATACCGGTAGTGCAGGTGGATACAAGTAACTGCGGCCAGGGTGGTGAGAATTGAGTTGTTGTGATTGCGATTGGGGCGATAAGTTAACTTTGGTTCATGAAGGGATCGTGAGCCACGGGAATTGGGAATTGTATGTGCGGTAGGTATGATACCCCCAAGATACTCGTAGCACCATATCAGTGTCCCCGTGTGCAAGTATCCACCAAAGCCGTGCTCCTACCGTACACGTACAGCACTCGAGTATGATACCAGTTATGGTCCTACAGTGAAGCCATTGCTTGTGTCGTTTAACCATGATAGACCTACGATATCGCGGCAACAAACCCTCTCTCAACAAAAACACATCAAAGAGGGAGAAAGGGAAATACTGAAGACCACCCGCACAGTACCAGTATCTTTCACCACCCTCCCCGCGCTCACACCGTGATATTCTCCGCCTGCCGTGGCTCCACCGTACCCCAAACTCAGGATGCGGTACCCGTACTTGTACAGTACTGTACTTGTGCACCCTGATCTAATCACCGTCTCCCCCAAGCGCCTTATCGAGCTACCCTATCGACGATCGCACCTCGCTTCACCCAACGGCGAGAGCAAAACAGCGGAACCGAAAATAGATTACTTCCGTCCGCCCCATCCTAGCTCAGGGCACCAACGCGACCAATTGGTCAGGTTTGGGGGGGGGGGTCTTTTGGGGAGCAAAACCCAGCTGTGGTCGGTTAGCTGGGCGGGCGGTTACTGTACTGTACTAGGGTACAAGTACTCGTACAGGAAGAGGAGGGATCGACAAGGGGGAAAAGGATGCAAGTATGTTTAGGCAAGGCATGGTAGGGGTTCGCTTTGGTGATTGAGGAAACGGTTGCATGGATGGTATTCGGTGCTCTGCCGGTATTGGGAGCAAGTTGTTGCGGGTCTGGCATACCAGCACCGGAGACAAGGCGAATGGGGGGGTTAATTATAGGTCCTCTGTTTTATTTTTCTCTCCTCACACTTTCGCCCCTTCTTTGGTGACTCCGATTATGTTTACGAGTACAGATACCGGCACTGTGGACGGACAGGTGGTCCAGGAGGTGTGTCACGACACTGGTTACTCTGGGATGTTATGCCTTCAGAGCGCATTACTGAAGGGGGTGGGAATGATAGTGAGGCATGCTGCGGGTATAGGTGGGTGTGCTACCAATGGCACAGTACGGTACCGATACCGGTACTCGAGCGGTTATGAGGATTTCACGAGCGAGGGGGAGACGAGATGAGAGGTTGGAGAGAGAGTATGATATCAAAATTATGGATTTTCTAGCTTATAGAATCGATTGGCAGGTACCGGTGGAGAGGCTCTTACAAGTTTTGCTTGGGTGCATCATTACTGTGTTTATTTTTTTCTCTCCTTTTTCTCACCCGTTCATCACTATTCGTGCCTGCGGGACGAAAAGTTCAGGCGCTGGGCGTGAACTGGTGACTCGTCGGGAACGAATCACGCTTCGGGATTAGTCGTAACTTATTTATAGATTTTCTGCTCTGATGTCGCGAATCCCAAAATTGCTTGTCCCCTCCCTAGCCCGATGCTCCCTCAATCAATCAACTCCTTCTCTCCCTCTTCGCCCAGCACGAGTTTGACAGGGACACGCTACTCTCCCTCTCTCCCTCTCTCCCTCTCTCCCTCTCCCTCTCCATTTACCCATTCTCCCTCTTTCGCACCCTCCCCTCCTCCTCCTGCACTTCCGACCCTATTCTCGTACGGTACTTTCTCTCCCACATCCCGCCCACTCCTTCTTTCCTTCCCCCTCTTCATATATTCACTTCGCCCCACCCATCCATTATTCCTCCCCTCCTGCGCCACCAGTTCGCCCTCTCTTTAGTGAAAGTGTTTACCGTGCCAACGACCGGATTGCTGGGAATGGGAGCTTAGGGAGGGTTTTGGAATCACAGGATCGCTGCTTGCTGACATTTCTACAATGGCGTCGCCCTATCCCTTCCACAATAACCAAGCCGCCTATGCTCGCTACAATCCAGCACTCTACCCAGGTGGACTTGGCGGTAGTCCGACCGTTGGCCCCACCAACGCTCCCGGCAACGCTCCCACCACGCCAGCGGGGTACGGTCCACGACGACCGAGCGTGAGTCCTATGAGGAACCCTATCGAGGGTGGAGACACGAGCGGAGAGTACAACCCTCAGCACTACGGCCCTGTCGTGGCGAATGGTACTGGTTCTTTTGCTCCTAGGCCTACCGGGGAGGATGGTATAGAGCCTTTGTTTCCTAGATAAAAATCACCACTTTCCCCCCAAAAAATTTCATTTCCTTATTACCATTTTCATTACCACCCTTCCTCCTTTGGGGAGAGGGCATCTTTTCTCACCTTTTCTATTATTTCCCCACCTTCCCTCCTCATTTGTAGTTACTCGTAATTCCCCTCCCCTTTCTGCCTTTCTTTCATATCCGTGAATCTCTACTTCCATGCCTCGCGTGCGCCGGACTGACGCCTCCGCAGCTCCACCACCGCCCTATTCACCTCCGAGTGCCCAGCGACACCCAAACAACCCTAGATTGCAGCTCAACCCCCCGCACCAGAGGCAGCATTCATGGCCTTACAACAGCCAGAATACAACCCCCATCTCACCACTGCAAGTCACTCCCTCAACCGCAACCTCGCGGGACTTCTCTCCGGTTTTCTCACAGCAAAACAGTGCCACCAGTACGGCCAATACTACCCCCTTGTCTCCTTATGCGCCCTTACTGCAGGAACAATTGGGGTGGAATGGCCCCACTCGCAGAAGAAATTATTCTCCTCCGGGGATGGCTGGCGGACAGGGGTACGCACCTTCGGGCTTGCAGCAAGCGTCTTATCCTTCTCCTGATATACCCCCACCTTCCAGTCCCATCGCCGATAGCGTTGGGCCATCATCCCGAGCCGGGAGTCGGCGACCAACCTTGCATGAGGTGGTGCCGCCGCCGCCGCCCGGGCCACCCCCAGCCCAGAATAATTATATCCGAGACGGCTCACCGATGGCTGCACAGGGTAGGAGAACGCATAGCATTAGTAGCCCGGCGCCTGCCGGACTCGGAATTGGGATGAGATCGGGTTCCCGCTCGCCTCCAACGATGTCTCTTCCGCCCGGAGCTGTGAGAGCCGATTCTCTTTCTCGGATACCCCCTCCTCCCCCTGGGCCCCCTCCACGAAGTGAATCTGTACCGAGAAACGTCTACGCTCCGGCATCCATGAGGAACGATTCCCAGAATGGCGGTGCGATCCCTCCCCCACCGCCCGGGCCACCGCCTAGAAACCCGAGCTTACCCAGAGTCATGAGCCAAGGTCGATCGGTTTCTTCTCCTGTGATGAACCCCACTGTCATGAGAATGAGTAGCAGATCCCCTCCCCAGCAACCAAGAGGGCTATCGACTGAAAACAGCGGTTCGAAATTTTACGAATTAGCGCAGTCCGTTGCGCCATCCGACTCAAGGGGTCTGCCCCCGGCTCCTCCCCCAAAGCGAAAGATGGAAGGGGAAGAGATGCCCCACAAGAAGAGCTCCCCAGGGCCAAGGAGTGGGGGTGAGGAAGGGTTAGGGATCGCCTGGGATCGGAGGCGACCGGAAGCAGATAATAATCCCTGGCGCCAAACACCAGCTAGTCCAGTGGTGAGCTCAGCTGAGGAGATGGTAGGGCAAAGGGACCGTGGATTGAGCTTTAGCGCCCCGCATGGCCAATCTGTGACGGCGCCTCTTTTGATCGATTACGAAGGGGAGTCCCCTCCGCCCCCAGAAGCAACACCAAGACTTCCCTTCAGCGCAACTGGAGCTCCCTCTTTCTCCATGGATAATAACAGGGTCAAGCGCAAGCCGATACGTATCACCTCACCACCAGCTAGTAGTTTTGAACCGCCAAAGCAGCTTCCTACACCCCCTCCTGGCGTTGAGAGGGATTCCAAATTCAGGCCGGTTTCACATTTGCTACACCTGCCTAATGCGGGGGGGCAACTCCAGCCCCCACTAATCGAGGAGGAGGAGGAGGAGATGAACGCATTTTACCTATCTGCGATGGAGAGGCACAGGGAGATGATTCGGTTGGAGGCTACAGCGTCGACGGATGAGGAGAGGGTGGGATTGTGGTTGGATTTTGTATTGAATGAGTGCAAGTTGAGGAAGGAACGGTATTCCCGCGCTGTCGGGAAGATGAGATCGTCTCTTGCGACAAGATTGGGTTCGGCATTTTCGGAAGAAACGCGACAAAATTTATCACCAATTTCACCGATCATGAAGGGTATGGACGGAGAGGATGTGGAAATGGAGAATACGCAGGAGGGCAGGGGGCGACCGGAAACGCAGTGGTGGGGGCAGCACCTGAACAGCGATTCTTTCGATAATGGTAATCCTGCGGGCACAGCCCTCGAAGCGAGAATCAGGGACGAGGAGTCCTCGCGTGGACGGACGTCCTCGCGGTGGTGGGAGGCGAGCGCGGAGGGCGGATCGGTTAGCGATCACTTGGCTGTTCGCTCCGATGGAATGGGAGATGATGAGTTTGGCATGGCACGGTCGAGTCACAGATACACACGCACTCCTAGAGCGTCGCTTCGCGAGATAGCTGAGCATGTGACTACCCCGCGGAATTCACAGTTCCCTGGCGATCCTGCCGGTTATGTTGGTAGTTCCGCATACCCCCCGGATAGGAAGACCATGTCCATGTCTCGTTCTCGATCGCGACCCGCTCACTCGCAATCCCGAACTCGCACCCCTGTCCGGCCAGTCAAGACGAATCTCGATATTGCTCCCCTACTCACTCTACTTCCGCCTTACCCACGAGTCTACCCAGCAGTGAACAACGCTCACCCCCAACTTGCAGTGTTCCGGAATCTTGTGCGAACACTGAATGACCTGTCTTCCATCACAGAGATCAAAGCTGACTTTAACGCTGCCTCCTCAATACGGAAGGAAACCTTCACCATCGAGTCACTAAAGCGCCGAAACCAGCACTCAGAGTACATCCAATCCCTTTACAACACGCCCTCGGGCAATAAGACCCAAAAGCGCCTCAGCTTCGACCAACTCGAAACCCTCAACACCGACTTCCAGAATCGCGAAAACGTCCTCACCGAGGAGTCCCTCAAGTCTGAATTTGACTTGTTCCAATCCCAAGTCGTGGACGCCGTTCACACCGAACTGCAGGAGCGCATCTCCGCCGCGTCAGCGGCCTACAACGACCTCGCCGCCGAGATCATCGCGAACGCGGACAACCCGCTCGGGGGACAGGAAGAAGGCGGCGACCAAGTCCCTGAACTCCTCGAAAAGCTGACATGCCTGAAATGGGTCTTTGATGTGCGGGAGCAACTCCACCGCGAGGTCTTCGACCTGCTGTCGGAGCGCAACCGCCGTTATAAGGAAGTGGTAATAACCCCCTTCTTTGCCTCCCGTCTCGCCGACAAAATTAGAGAAGCGGAAGACTTCTTCACAACAGACGAGAATGCCCGCCGCCTTAAGGCCGACAAGGAATCTCTCTCCCGATACGATGGCTTCCTAGACTTGGTGGAGAACCAAGTGGTCAAGGGTGTCGAAAAGCAAATTTCGGTATTCTGGGAGGTTGCGCCGCTGATCATGGAGTGCTTTGAAAAGATCCCGACGGACCTGACGAACGTCCACCCCATTGTCCCGCCGGAAGAGTACCATGAAAACCCCGCTTATCTTAGAGAGCCATTGAGGTACCTCCATTCGAAAATAGAAATGGCGGAGAAGTCGATATATCAGTTTGTCGAGGGGCAGACAAATTTGCTCTGCTTATTACACGAGGTCAAGACTTTGAGCATGGTTGCAGGATGGAAAGTCCGCTTGCCGGGCCCGGAGAATTCTAGGATTCAGGAAGAACGCCGGGAGAAGGAGGAGGCGGTGCTCACGGAGGACTTGAAAGAGAAGGTGAAGATGCTGGAGAGCGAATGGAGGGAGAGTCTCGGGAACCTATTTGAGGAGGTGAGGGGGAGAGTTAGCAGATGGATTGGTGAAGGGGAGACCACGGAGTAGTTTTTCCTCATCGATAGGAGAGTGTCATACTATATTGGAAGAAGCGGGGGAGGAGGTGGAGCAAAACTTCTTTATTGTGTGGTACCAATATTCATGTACATGTTTCCCTTCTGGCCTGATACCAATATCATTATTTTTCTTTTATTTCTTTCATTTTCCCTTTTGTTCCTACTTTATTCGAGTTTATCATGGTTACATTTCTCTCATTGTATTTTACATTCGCTTTTTTTCTTTCTCTTCCTTTATCATTATCACTTTATCTCAATGGACATGCATAGATGGGCGTAATGTACTCTACACTCGCTTGGAGTTTTTTCATTCTTCACTTTTTCTTCTTCCTCTTTTCGTCTGGACTGGGTTTATTTTGGCCAATTGAATGACGGTGTATATAGATGGGGGAGTGGGGGAGTGGGGGGGAATCGAATCATTGATACCCATCACTTTCACATCCTCAGTGTACCTCGTAAAGCATTTTTCCTGCCATTACATATTCACAAATGATAAAATGATTGTTCAAGGAACCATTATTATTCTTCCCAGTTTTTTGCGTTATCGTGATCACACATCATCACTCGCACCGGACCTAAGCGGGATATCGAATGTATGTATCATATGACTTCGACGTGATGGAAAGCATGCATACGTCAGGAAACCTGCCGTACTACCGCTTCGGGGACAATTGGGATTTGGGGAAACAAGTGTTACGTTGTATATATAGGCACCGCTGGTTAGTATGGGTAGGTGCATCCATCATTTGGAGAAGGCAAGAAATTATCTTTTCTCCCCCCCCCAAAGAATACCGCTTCGTATACTATATATACTCTTGGTATTTGTTACCTTATCTTCGGTCTCCGAGTTTTTATTGTTCGTGACTTCCAACACGGGATTGCGTCGTGCGCCGTCGCCAGATCTCCGGTAAGGTGCGCGTGGGGGTACGGTCGTTTGGTATGTTGCGAATGAATCTGTGTGAGGTCTAGTCTGGTAGGGTGCTTGCTGGTCCGTCGGCGGGAGGCTTGAATGGAAGGAGGAGGTGACATCCACACTCATTACACTACCGGCCCCACCGGATCCCCCCTAGCAGTAGCAGCCCCATAGATCTTCTCCAGATCCTCAGGTGATGACGCTTGCAGTTCAAAGCACTAAAGTCCACATCCTCCCCCTGCAACAGCATCTCTACAGCCTCCCAGAGCCGCTCCTCAGCCGCCACCGCAAGCGGATGCTGATGCTCATGCCCAAATTCACCAACGACACCGACGTTGACCCTCGCGTCGGCAGCCAATATCCTCGCCGCCTGGATCCGCTTTTCAGCCACGGCGGAGAAAAACGGTGTGCGCTGCCACTCATCCCGAACATTAACCTTAGTTCGCGGGCACACTAACAAGTGGCACACCATCTACGGACTACATCGCTGGACGCACCAATGCAGGGCCGCTCGCCCGGTGTTATCGGCCCAGTTCACCCCCGCCTGCGGATCCCCCAGGAGTAACCCGAAGGCACCGGCTTGGTCAATCACGCACGCAGACGTGAAGGCGGTCCCCCCCCAGCGGTCGCGATGGTTGATATCAATCCTTTGGTCTGCCAGGAGTAGGCTCACAAGCCCCTGTTTCCCCTCTAAGATTGCTGCGAACAGCGCCGTTTGGCAAGATTCGTCCGCAGCGTTGACGAGCAGTCGCTCGTCGGCGAGTAGTAAGCTCATGACTTCTTCGTTCGCGTGGCGCGCTGCCAGGCATATAAGCGGCGAGCGGGCGCTCCCTGTCTGGAAGTTGACGTTTGCGCCTGGGCATTGGAGGAGTAAGCCCAGGGCAGCCGGCCGGCCGTTGAGCACCGCGAGGCGGAGTGGTGTCTAGCCCAGCACGTTGTGGGGTGTGACGTTGAATCCGCCCGAGCCCAGTAATGTCTTTATGGCCAGCTCGCCTTCTGTCTGGACTGCCGCGTGGACTATGTTCCAGAGAAATTTGGTGATGCCACGGTTATCTCATTTGGGAGATGGAGGAATGGCATTGCGGTGTTCGTTTGCTATGATTGGTGAATGGAGGACTGTTCGCCGTTAGGTCTCTGGGGCCAAGTGCCTGTGGTAGGGTAGTGCGGTGGAATCCCGATTGCAGTGGATTAGAATCGAGTTACCGGTACCCTAGAAACTCGTGAAACCGACAATCGCCTCTCGACCTGGGATTTCTTCGGTGAGAGGCAAAACACTAGGAAGGAATAGTGTTTCTAGGCGGAGTATGGAACTTCACGGTGCTGGTGCTTGATTGATCTGGTCTCCCCCAAAGTCGAGTTGTTTAAAATTGTTTTCCCAGATAGTATGATAGACCAACCGGAATTGATTTAATTAGCACACAGCAACATGAGTACCGGTACTCGAGTACTCGTACTCATAGGTGCCGGTAACTCGGACTAGCTATGGGTTACGGGGAAAGTGTTGCCCGTTGGGTCATCCATGCGACAGGTAAATTAAATTATGTGTGGCAGTTCAGCGGACCAACAAGCTGAGCCCCTATCATGCGCCGGCCAAAAGCCAGCCTTCGGAGAGCAAAGAACCAGGACCTCCAACCAACTCTCGGCTTCCTCGCTGTCTACCCACTTCTACTGCCAGCACCAACAGCCTCTAAACCTTCTATCCCCCGGAGAAAGAAAGCTTTAATCAGTGACGATGAAAATTTACTACATCGGCGTACGTGCGCGCCTTCTAACCGAGCGGGGGAAGGAGGAGAGGAAAAAATAAACACTAGCTAACTACAAACCCCTAGGTAATCCGCAATGCACCAAAGCCAGCCCATGAGCTGGTATCGGTGAAGGACCTTAATTCATTTTCCTTTTTCCAGCGAAATACTGTCTCCGAATTTCTAACGATGTTTTCCGGCACCATCGCGGAACGTACCGGGCCTGCTTCCCGTCAGGATGTCGAGGAACAATGTACGGTTCTAGCTTTCCCGTACTCATGGGCTTCCACCGGCCCTTGCTGACTAGGCGACAGCATATACCTTCCACGCATACAGTCGTTCCGAAGGGATTGCTGGAGTGATCATCTCCGACCACGAGTACCCGAAGCTCGTCGCACACAAGCTTCTATCTCAGGTCGTCGACGACTTCCTCACAGCGCATCCTCGTTCTAAGTGGGCGGAGGGGGCCCCACTGCTGGAATTACCAGTCCTCGGGGAATATATTGTCAAGTACCAAGATCCACGGCAGGCAGACAGCATTATGAGAATCCAGCAAGAGCTCGACGAAACAAAGATCGTGCTGCACAAGACTATTGAGAGTGTTTTGGAACGTGGCGAGAAGATCGATAGTTTGGTACAAAGGAGCGAAGGGCTGAGCTCTGCCTCTAAAATGTTCTACAAACAGGTACGATCGTCCCGTATTTTCAGGGAATTAAAGATGGGCACTAATCGATTCGACGGGGAAATGTAGGCCAAGAAGCAAAATTCGTGCTGTATTATCACTTAGATTGTGACACCCTTGCCCATATTTTGCTTTGTTCACGATGCACCGTCGACAGTTGTTTGTTTGTGTGGCCGGCGAGAGGGGTGGGGTGGATAATCTGTACTCCTTCATTTTAGTAGCGAAATGACGGAATGGTAATGATTTGTTCCTTTTTTATCTACAAATGAGCCCCCCCGTATGCGCCATACGGACTAGAAACTATGAGGCCTCAAATAGGGGATCCACGCTTAGAAATGAAACCGGAACTGTTGTACTATTTTAGCAGTTCAGCGTGAGTGCGGCGCGGTATGTGCTCCAGTTTGCGGTGCAGTTTTCATGCAATGGATCCAACTTCGTTTTCACAACATGCCAACCAACTATCATAATATTATTATCATAATTATATAGCTATTATGGGGTTATCGATGCAGAGCGTAGGATACTTCCCCTTGCCCTATGCCTCTTCAAAGGAAATCATAACCCATCACTCACCCTTAGCAGGTCCACCAGCGGAAACCCCCCCCCCTCCTATCATACCGTCTATCAGATGGAGGGCGTGTGATGTTCTGAAGCATGTATGATATGATATGATACACAAGAAGTATGCGCCTTGGAGACCCCGAAACCTGGCAGTCCCTGTACTGCTCTATTTATTTATTTATTTTTAAGGCTACAAATTCGAATACATACTTGCATTTAGTAAAATTTCCCACGTGTTCAGAATTTATAAGATCATGTACAGTACTTCTAGTGATATGATACCTCCTTAAAAGTATTAAATTTTGATAACCATATCTTCACCCGTGTGGTTCGCACGCTGGCAATGCCCTGTATACCGGTAATAGTATTGCGCTCGCTGAACAGGCTCTAAATCCTGACTATTTTGCGCTTTCATGCTATGATATGATATCGTATGTGCGAGTACTTGTATCATAAACTAAATTTAAAAGCGTTTGCACGCACACGCCTCGCCAACTCGGCAACTCTTAAATTTAAACTACGCCCTCGATCTCACTCCCGCTTCCTCCTCCTTATTCCCAAACCCTCCTCTAGCACCTTCGCCACGTCCACGTCCACCCCCTTCCCCCCTTAACTTACCCTTTCCGCCACCCACCAAAGCCTCCTCCACCCCCGGGCACTGTCGTATTGGTCAAAGCGTTCACCGAATTTCTTCTCTTTCCCAGTCAGCTTAAATATAGTTGCATTTCGGAGCCGGCCATTCATTGGAATACGCCAAGCCCTGCTGTCAGCACGCCTCCTATCTCCTTCAGCTCACCGGCACTCAAATACTAACCGTGTCCCCACGCCCCGAAGAATACAAATCCCTTCACCAACAGAACACACCCAAAAACCAAACCAGTTCCGCACCCCCCACACAAAAACCCCACCCCACGAAAATGAAAAAACTCTTTCGCGGATCCAAGGGAAGGACCCAACCGGAAGACGAAGATCAAAACCGTGATGCTCTCTTCGGCAGTCGGACAGCAGCAGCCCCTCCTCCTCCCGGCGACGGATATGGGACCAATTCCAACCCCTACGCTCCTGAACGCGGTGGGGGTAGAAATGGCTACGGAGCCCCTCAGGGTGGATACGGTCGCAGTAATAATGAGATAGGAAACCGCGGGGGATATGGAGGTGCATCGAACCCCTACGCTCTTCACAATGGTGGAGATAACGGTGGACACAATTCGTCCGGTGAGCCCGATCGTGCGCAGCTCTTCGGGGCAAGGCAGCAAAAGCACGACTACTCCTACACAGCGCACGCCAACGAACCTAGTGCTAGAGATGACGATGAGGATACCGAGTTGGTGAAGCAGGAGATCAAGGATACGAATCGCAAGACTGCTGGATTGACCGAGAGTGCCCTCGCCGCTGCCCGAAGGGCTGAAGCAAGCGGCGTTGCTACTATTGAACGTCTTGGTATGCAGGGTGAACGTTTATCCAATACTGAAAAGAATCTCGACGTTGCGTCAGTTCAGAATCGTATTGCCGAGGATAAAGCCCGCGAGCTCAAGCAGTATAACAGATCTATGTTTGTCCCGGCTATGGGCAACCCACTTCGCTCCTCGGCTCGTGCCAAGGAGGAGGAAGCTAGGGTCCTTGCACACCATCAAAACGACAGAGAGGAAAGGGAGAGAACAAGGGAGTTTGGCTACGAAGGCAGGAATACTGTTGGGAGGGCTCTAAATGATGCTACTAGACGTGTTGAAAGTAAAGCCACGACTGGTTTAGCCGAGAGGTCGAGGTATCAGTTCGAGGCAGATGAGAGCGATGATGAAAAAGAGAAAGTGATTGCCAATAACTTGGATGAGCTGGGAGCCATCACAGGTCGTTTGAAAGGGTTGGCCATGGCCACCAGTGCAGAGGTCGATCGGCAGAACGTGCAGATCGAGAGGATTATGAAGAAGGTGCTATCCCTTTACTCTATACCTACCTATAATGTTGCTAACCTTTATGAACAGAGTGATCGTGTCGATGACCAAATCGCTATCAACCACAATAGGATCCGCAAGATCCATTAGAAAGGGGATATTTGGGATAGCTTGGAGAGCTGGGCTGGTCGGATTTCTATTTTCTCTCGTTTTAGGGCCAAAGTTTTTGAGATTCTTGAGAACACATTTTACCTAGATATTGCTTAAAATGGAGAAGCTCTAGACTGAGCTGAACTTCAAATTTTTTCCCTGGAAACAACCCAAATGGGACTCCAGAAAACCTCTATGCCGCAATGCTATGTTTGACTTCTGCATAACATTCCCCATATCTCAAGAAAACATTGGGGAACTAGCAGAACTTTAATCAGGCCATTTTTTGTTCTGTTAGGTATATTCCCAACGTACTATCACCCACCGTTTAAAAAGTAGGAAACAAATGAAATCACGACATTTAAAGATCCACTTAGTCGAACTATCACACAATCAATACCCATTCCGTGCAAATAGGGAGAGGATACCTACTGGGGTTAAAAAGGCCTCTGCAACGAAACGGGCTCTTGCATTCAACTGCCTGACAATCAGCGGCTGGTTGGGGGCACTGCGCAAGGGTCATACAAATAATTTCATCTCTGATATCTCTTTATCAACCTCCTCCATAAAGTGAACAATAAAATCAACCAATTTGTGTTTAAGCATATCCTCCGTATGGAAATTTGTGATCAAGAACGAGATATCATACCCCTATAATTACATTAGTCCAGACCCCTCGAGCGGGGGCACCTACATGCACTCACTCTCACAGCCTTCCTCCTCAAAATGAAGAAATTCTCCGCCCTCTGGGTTAGGAACCTGGTAAATTTATGGACCAGGATATGCTCGATTTCGTCCGCCTGCTTGATCTTGATGCTCACGCGGATAGAATTCACGCTCGGCTCTATCAACACGCGTTCGTTCTCGTTTCGGGATACGGTGAGGGGGTTCAGGAGAACCTCGGGGGATTTCGCAGCTTCGATTTCCGGAACGTTGTGACGTTCCGCGGTTTGGCTGGCGAAGTTGCTGAGGGTTATCGCGGCGGTCAGGGAGGAGCGAACGCATTTTAGATATGGGCGGAGAGATTGAGACTGAATATTTGTTAATTATTGGTAAGAGAGAGATGCAAAAGAGAGATTTACCATTTTGGTGTTCTCCCAGTTCTCGTGGCTAAAAAGGTTGATAGGTCAGTACTCGAGTAGTTGGCGGCAAGTGCTTGAAGAGGCATGATAGAGCACAAAGTTGCGGTGGAGGAGACGTTGCTGGCTTGAACCCTAACCCCGCCCCCACTAATCTGATTAAAACGGCAGCGGCTCACCATGTGGCACTCGAGGCGGTATTTCTAGATGGTTACACATATCCGTCCCTCGTGTAATGTTAATTTGAGGAATCTTACTCAAATAGATTTTTAACTTTTTAGATCTGGTTGAGGACCCATTTCCCACTTTTTGCCCCATTGTAATTATCGAGCATCAACTGGAAAGCTCAAAACACAAATAGTACTCGTACAAGAACCCAAACTCCAAGAGCTATGATATGGTATCGCTATGGGGCATCCTTCTTTCTCTTGCTGCCCAATTTGTTCGCCTTATCCTGTAGCTTCCTCTTCCTCTTCCCGTACTCGTTTTTCCCCTCCTCCACTGCCATAACAGCAGCTCGTTTCTTCACACTGACCTCCTGTAGCATCTCCCTAACAACTCTTCCCTCCAGACTAACGCCGGGCTCATCAATGTACTTCTCGATCTTCCTACCAGTCCTCTTCTCGATTGCCTCGATAAGCAGGATATCATGCTGTGTGATAAAAGTAATTGCCTCGCCACCCCTCCCAGCTCTCGCTGTTCGGCCAACCCTATGCACATAGTCATCTGGATCTCGTGGCACATCGAAATTGACGACTAGCTCAACCACCGGTATGTCGAGACCACGAGAGGCAACATCTGTCGCAACCAAAATACGTGCCGCTTCGGCACGAAAGCGGCCGAGTGAGTCAGTTCGTTCTCTCTGAGGAAGTTCGCTGTGTAGCGGTGTTACGCGGTGAGCTAGTTGCTTAAGTGTGTGGGTTAAGAGGTTTGCAGTATGAGTTCTGTTTGTAAAAATTATTACAGACTTATTTTCATTAAGAGGAGTAGTTAGGAGAGTGTGGAGGTAGGCCTCGCGAGTGTGGGGTACAAGGAGAAGGTATTTCTGTGAGAGACTTGGGGGAATGGCTAATCTAGTAGCGCCGTTATATGTAAGTCCGCCTGTCCAGAGTTCGCGAGGATTTTAGATCATACTTATCGATGCCAACCTCACAAATAAACACTTCCCGTCGGCCAGTTGTTCTCTCCATTTCCTTCAGCGCCCTTACCTCCGGCGTTACAGTGGCAGTGAACAGCAAAGTCTGTCTTCCAGAAATCCCACTCTTTGGAACAACATTTAAACATTCCTCTAGATCCTCCGCAAAGGTCTCGCTGAGCATTCTATCTGCCTCGTCAAGAACCACCACTCTTGTCCTTCTGAGCCCACAGATTGTGTCTTCCCCGGAAGATCGAATATGGTCTGCTAGACGTCCGGGGGTGGCAATCACAATGTGCGGGCGAGTGGCTAGTGATAGTGCTTGCTCGTTCATGTCTGCCCCGCCGATTAACAGGCAAACCTTTAGATTTTGCGGCGCTCCGACAGCTTTGAATTGATCGGCAATCTGAAGGGCCAGTTCTCTAAAAGTTCACTTGGGTTCAGCATCTCGTCACTAATGTTTCCATCAGAAAGTTCAATACCTGGTCGGGGTTAAAATGAGCGCGAAAACACCAAATGGATCCTCAGCCCACATCTGTAATATGGGAGCCGCGAATGCAACAGTCTTTCCTGAACCAGTTTGTGACCCCCCGATGCAATCCTTCCCTACATTCGTGTTAGCGGTGCGTTCTGGGTGAAGGGGAAATGAAGTGAGCAAATGCCTTCAAGAATAGGTCCAATACAAGCAGCCTGGATCGGTGTCGGCTTTCGTATCGCCATTGCGCCTAATGAATCGGCAAGCCATCTTTCAATTCCAAGATCTGTGAAATTCGTTGGTTCTGGCATTTTCGGCATTGAAAGAGTCGAAAGAGATTCCGGAGGCAGAAAACAAAAATGCGGCTCTGTCGTACAACACAGGATTAAAGTTAAGAGAAGCATGAAGCATCTTGGCATTTAGTTACCCTAACCCCAGCTATACTCGGAGATCTATCATAATATATGATAGATCATGGACTATAATACGGTAAATTACTCTAGACTAATGTTTTCCGCAAGGATTTCTGTCTCGACGCTAAATTTATCGGGATTATTCAGCACCATACCGATAGCATACAGTGACCTCAAAAATCAATGATTCTCACACGTCGTCCAACAGTTTTCACTTGGTCCGCCGAAGCTAAGGCTAGGATAGCATTGCGATTGCGAAGTACGTATAAGGGTCTAAGTGGAGAGGAGGAGGAACGGATTATGCAAAAAAGGAAATGGCTTGCAGAGTTTGTTCCAGAGTCGATCCCACGAAAGAACTGTGTTATAACATCATCGAGAGCTTCAGGGCCCGGTGAGAAATTGTCTTCCAAAGTTTCAGATCGCGAGACTAATTTTTCCTCCTTAGGCGGGCAGAACGTCAACAAGTACAGTTCTAAATCCTGTGCGATGAATGGATCGCTTATTGACTTGGGATAGAGTGAATTCTAAAGTCACCCTTAGACTAGATTTATCTACTAAGGGCGGTTTCATTCCACCCTTTGTCTTAGAGGAGGTTCAGAAATGGGTGAGGGTATCTCCCGAAGAGATTCACCAGAGACTTTCTAATTAAATTGTGTGAAATAGTCCAAATACATGACAAGTAATAATGAAATTGTCATCCAGTCGGACACTTCCAGGAGACAAGCTGAAAATATCGAGAATTGCTATCGCAAGCTGTATACCAGCATCAGGGATTGTATCCAGGTGCCCGGTGAGACGAGTGAGGATACTAAGAAGCGAATTGAAAAATTGTACGTTCATCCTACAATACTCAGGCTCGAATTATGTACTTGAAATGGATGCATAACAACGATTGCTACTCATCCACCATCCACCCCACTGCTGCCTACTCTTCCTCCCGCCCCCCTACTATGTCGCTTCTATCTCATATTGAGATCATTTGCTGAACCGGATTTCTACCGTTCTCTCTGCTAAGAGAATCGTGATACTTTTCACTTGTCGGTGGCTGATAAGGCATGATGGTTGACGAGGGGCAATCGTTGCTCTTGCGAGCATTTCGAGTACTTAATTCGCGCCCGAGCATAGAACCTCGGAGAGTTATACTGAACTGAACCTATGTACAGAGAAAAAGCAAGCAAGGAAAAAAGACTCAAGGAAAAAAAGGTAAATAGCTCGAAAAAGGCTTCTAGGAAGGGCGGTAGAGATGAGTATTAATATGTGGAAACACAAACTTCCTACAAAAATGTACTTTTTCTCAAAATAGCTCCCTCCGGAGATCGAACTCGAGATGCAAGTGCCTGTAACTTGTCGTGATTGGGATATTTGGAAACCCCCCTTTCTAAAGCTCCCTTGGTATCTACGCCATTGATACTGCTCTTCCCACACAACTCTGCGAAATAGAGATATGTTTCAGCCGTGGTTTCTCCCTGTTCCTCTGCCTGCCGGAAGTACTTTAATGCCATCGATGTAGCGACCTTGCGGATGTCCGAATCTACTTCTTGGAGGGTCGCTATGTCAACCATAGACTTTATGAAGGACGCATATAAGGGTGCTTTTGTCGTGGCAGCTTTCACAACCTCAGCCATCCGGGAAATAGCAGTTCGAAGGAAACTAGGGAAGGTTGGCTCAGTGGGGTCGGCTCCAATTAGAGGTAGTTTGACACACATGGAGAGTGTTTGGGGGGCTGTGGGAGCGACCTCCTGACTATAGGTGATGACATGCTCGAGAATTTTCATGGCGCAACGCAGGTGACCGAACCGTGCAAAGACGTTGAAAAAGTCCTCAGCAAATTGGACATCATTCGGAATTTCCTTAACCGCCGAATCAAATATAGCTAACGCAATAGCACCGTTGAGAGCTGGATTTGCCTCTATATTCTCCAAAGCCTCCGTATCGAGGGAGTGGTCCTTCTTGATAGAGGGATCGATATCTTCGGCCGAAATTTGTGGCAACTTTATATTTCCTTCCTCATCCTCTTCGACCCCATATTCATCCACTGTAGGTGCATCAATCCCTAGCAATTCTCTTCTGGCAAGTACCTTCGCAATAAAAACCATCTCTAACTTTGCGTACTCCACCCAGAGCACCCTCGAAGCCTTGCTGAACCTCAAACCCCTCTGTAAATAGCTTCTACCTTCCGTGATGTCCATATTGTCCTCGATTGCGCATGATGCTGCGAAGATCCAAAACTGCGGCTCTGTCGGGTGAAGTCTGAGAACATTCATAAGAGCCTTATTAAGTATCTTTCCCGCCTTCTCCTTCCGGGCATACTCAATATACTGCATCCACAGTACCTGCTCTCCGTAAAACTTCTGAGTAGCCCGATCCAGGATGAAAAATATCCTGCGCTGGCCCGAGCTCGCATTACGGTTTAGTTTGACACCTAGTCGCTTAATTCGTTTCTTGCGGAGTTGGTCGAGGTTGATTTCGAACTCAAGATAGCGGATATAATCCTGGGCATTGCAGCCTGAGGCATTGACTCGCAACTCGAATTGATTACGCTTCTTGACCACGTCGCTAATTTCTTTCTAGGCATCGTTAATGTTTAGCATGAGTAGGAGGACTACAGCACTTACCTCGGTGAAAATTTTCTTCTTTTTGAGTTCCTGAAGTTCAGGAAGCGACTGCTCCATATAGAAGCGAGCCTTATCCGCAGCCATGTTGGGCGAATTGCTCGCGGGATCTGGAGGGTTTCGGGAGATGAGGTTGAAGTAGAGGTTCGCCCGGGTTTGCCTTGTGAAGTTATTTTTTATTCTGCTGCACAACCTCAAAATTTAATGCCCTGAAGTCCACTGCCTAACCAATAAAAGGTGGGGCGCTCCTGATAGGATTATCTCAGCCTCAGCAAAGTAGTCACGTGCCTTGCAGGTATCATAACTGTAGGGATTAAGAAGGATTTATGTCTTGTTCAGGGTGTGAGTATGAACCCTGGTAAGTGTTTCCCTTAGCCCCATTAAAATTTTATTGATACACTGCGAGTAGATGCCTGTATCGTAGTATACCACTGACACAATTAGCTCTTGTATGGTGCGAAATGTGAGCAGAGAAGGGGCCAAAGGCCCGGCCGTGAGCATGAACCGTACCTATATCCCATATAACTTGTACTTGAGTCTTTAGAATCTTATTGGGTGAAGCGAAGCACCAGTACTGATAACACCGGCATCATAAATTTACTCCCTGCCCTCTTTCACTTCAGGGGGCCAGGTTGAGCGCAGCGAAACCCATGTGAGACTGGGGCGTCCACATTACATAAGCCCAAGATCTTATTGACACATGAGCTTCGCTCTTCTCAACTTGGACCTAGTGAAAGAGAGCTCATATGAGTGCCGGTATTAGTATTGGTGCTTCTCTACACTCGATAAAATCAAGTCCTAGCTCTCATTTCGCGTCAGTGCTTGTGAGCCGCCAGTCCGGCCTGCAGAGAGCATGCGGATTTAGTCCGGCAAGGCTAAGTCAAGGTGAGACCGACTTGGGTTCTGCAGTACCGGCCCTCTCGAAGCCTGCAGGCTTCACACATGCCTGGCAGCCCCGACAGCCTATGCCATGTGGTTAGTAAATATTTTCCCGGCGGGTAGTAGATATCTGAAGATATCTTCCGCAGATTCATACATGGGGCACATTGGGAAAATTAGAACCATCCTGATAGGTCCAAAGCATTGAGAGTAGTGTGCATGCTCGGCAATTTCCAATCACTCGGTGTATCTTGGGATGTAAGTGAATTACTCGCGGGTTCACATTTTCTGTTTTCTCCTACCACTTTAGTATTATTATGAACCTCAAATCCCTGACAATTTTCCTCTCTTTTCCACCACTGGTTCTCCGAGTACTCTTGATCCAAATGACCCCGCATCGCAAATTGTTTCTCTTTTTTTTCGATCCCGGTTATTAGGTTAGACACAACTAACTATTCGGGCGAGAATATAAATGTACGTTCCAGTTCTGCACCAAGTTCTACGAGTACATCTATGGTAGCTGTTTGTTAGCCCCCATGACCAAAAGCAATAGTGAAAATAATATACCACGCCAGCATAGCCATGGGGGTGCAAACGCTGTTAGCACATATGCTAGTATGATATTTCTTTTAGCCCATGTCAGTATAGATAAGCCCTAAAAGTCTTCCGAAATCAAACCCATCATGCTCGATCACTCGGAAGCCTCAAGATACCCGCAGTTTCGCTCGGGGAGCCGGACCGCAGCCTGCAGTCTCGCTAGGCAAGCTTCCAAATGCGCCCAGGGTATATGCTGTCGCCATGGGCAAAAAGTGAAGCCTTCTCAATAACCATAATTCCCACGGGTATGTACTTCTGGCCCTGGCACTTGTAAAATATATCTGGTAAAGAGAACCGAGGTCTTATTTTGACTTACCAAGGTAGCGGTTAGTGTTAGTATCACAATGCCTGGTATCGTGGAATGTCATCTAGTCCTAGTATTCTCACAGCTACAGTCTTATGGCTCCCTGGGCAGTGCAGACGTTCTCCCATACCATCTCTCCTACTGGGCGTCAAATTTGGGTCAGGTGTTCTGGGATGGTGCAGCTTAAGATGCCGCAACCAGTGCCACCTCAGGGTTTAGGCAAAGAGGGGATTTTATCCCGGGATGTACCGGGTAGGTATCATAGAGGATAGCGATTCGCAATGTGTATCATAACACGCGGGTGGTTCCAAATCACAGCGGGTCTATTACGACGCCCAACAGTCAGCACCAGATTTGGCTCAAAGCCAGACTTTTTGCTTTGTTGGAATTTCAGCTCTCAGCAAACCACTTCCAAAGGTTCTGGGTGCACCTAAAAATAAACTGTTGTTTTCCCTACTTTACAGACATTACTACTTAATGATTTCAATTTTCGTAAGGATCTCTCCCCCAAGTCTTGAAATCTCATTTAATATAGACTTCTTGTTCAGCACCAAAACCTCCTCGCCATTTCCCCTCACCTGTGGAATTGTAGAATATGGGATGTTAACTTTCCATCTCCTTCCACTTTCAGATGAGGGATTCCAGAGCCCAGCTATTATATTTCCGTCCGTGAAAAAGATGACGGTATCTCCATAAATATCCTGTTTTGGTCAACATGTAATTAGAAGTGTGGGTGAAGGTCGAATAGTCAAGTGGGGAATTACATTAAGCTCATCGACAAAGGTGTCGGGAACGTTTAGGCCTAACTTGGCAATATCTTGAGGAGTGATTTCGGTCTTCTGTAGGTTTTTGAATTTTGAACTTTTTGAGCGGATACCAGGTAGAGTGTATTTGGGTTCGATATACATCACGAAGTCGTAGTCTTTTGTTGAAGAGATAAACATATTCTACACGCTATAGATTAGGTAGCCATTAAGAATGTGAGGTGGTTGTAGGAAGTGAACCTTAAAACTAGCACCAATGGCAGACCTTGCTAACGCTGTGACCCTTGCTGCAACAACTTTTCTCGGACCAAATTCTGTGAAAGTAGTTCCCGTAGGGTCATACTCGGTAGGGATAACCATAGCATGTCTGTTTATGGCAGGATCGGATTTTCGAATGGCGTCGAAGGTTTCGGAGGCGTTTTTAGCGACTGTACCAATGACAGCCGGCTCAGCGCGCCAGTCCCATAGAGAAATGAAGTGTAGTGTTCGGAGAAATCCACTCATAACACTATTCGGTGGAGAGGAAGTAGCAACGAATGTACGGATGGTCATTAGTTCAGCGAGCTCCTCCGAAATCTCTCTTGACAAGAGATGTGTTTGAAACCATCTTTTGAGCAGACGGATACTAGGTGAGAGGGCTGGGAAGCGATGAGACAACTTCTGCACTTCCTGAGTGTGAAGTGGGCCGACAATAAACCTTCTGCGATGTTCTGAAAGTGCCGCAGTGACCTCATCCCGTTTCTTACCTGGAAGATCTTTGTTCAAGAGCTGTCGCTCCAGAAGGGTTTGCTCACGATCATGATAGATCCGAATCCGGAATGCTGAACCTTCGTAATAGACAACCTCCAGAAATGCCGAGTTCATTGTTGGATAGTCGATGTTTTCTAGCCCAATGCGAGTGACAGTGCCAGCCTTTTCTAGAAGCTCAGACATCTTAAGGAGGAATGCGGTCTTGGTTTTTTGGATGGCAATCAGATCGTCAGGCCATCGGCCGGAACTTTCGAACTGAACAACCACGTCTGCGGGCTGCATTAGCTGACCAGATGAGAGGAGTGGCACTTCCACACTCGAATATCGCAATACTGGTGCCGCAGCAGAAACCTGCCGGATGGCTAATGGAAGCCCTTCAAGATTCCTGAGTTCTTTGATGAGTTTCTCGAAAGCTGCCATGGCGGGTTGAAATAAGCTAACATCCCTCCCCCCTCCAACCGCGGTCGTGTATTCGTCCCCAATAAATTTGATGTGATTGCCTATTCCGTCACCGAAGTTTTTGGCTACCAGGTATTGAATGATTTGATTATATATAGATTGTTTCGAATCCTTGGTGCCCCACACTACACTCTCAAGTATGCTTCCATCCTTGAAACGACGGAGTTCAGCCTTATCCCCCCAAAACACGCGATATGAGGCACCATCCTTGTGGCCGGCTGGGGGCCCATGATCAACAGCACGGTTGCATTGTGCTGCATTGAGCAGGAGGCCAACAATTATTTGTGCAGCCGGTGCAGGACTGCGGTTGATTCCATCAGCTCTAACCGGTAGATCTGAAATAGAAGGAAGGGTCAAATGAATGAGCTTTGCCCTGTCGGTAAGGCCCGTAGATAACATGTCGTACAGCTTTTGAGAAAACGAGAGTAGGGGATCAAGCCCATTATTTTTATTTAGGCATTCAGGAATCGGAATATATGCTAATGCATCGAACTTGAAGCGGGGGTCATCAAGCCTGTGCAAGAAAACTTCTTCGAAATGATCCATTACTGGATCACTTAAGAGCTTTAGTGTTATCTCTGCTTCATGTTTTAACTATACAAGTAAGCACAATTCGGTTAGTGGGCTTAGACAAAAATATACCAGACGATATCCCCACTCTGTCATTTTGAATAATATGTTCAATCCAATCTTCCCATCGAACACATTAGGCCCATTGGGCCAGCGCGCGCACTCTGACTCTACGTCAAAGAGTAATGGGTTCACGATTAAATCACGAGTGGCTAAAAACTGCAGCATAGCCTTGAACATCTGATAGTTGCTGTACCCTTTTGCGAGAACACTATTCCCTTTGCTGCCACCGCCCTTCAGCAGCAGCGACATCAATATTGACCATTCAGCATGGCCAAATCCTCCTTGATTAATGTTGGAACCAAATCCACGTTGCCTAAGCCATGTCCTACCCAGCAGGCAAGCGTCTTTGAAAACCTTGGCTTCGGAGGAGATGTCATGCAGTTGTGCGAGATGCTCGAAGTAAGTTGTATCGGCCAAAATTGAAGAGTTGTATCGAGGGGTTGGTGGGAGTGAGTTTTTGGCTGTGTCTCTCTCAGCAACGGGTCTTACGGCATTTCTGTCGGGACGTAGCCTAGAGGCTGAGAAGGTGTTCTTGGCAATAGCAGGAATAATGCGGATGAGGCACTTCGAGGTTGTGAAGTCTGTTTCACTGCCACCTGTGTCTTGTTTAGCTGAGTCGCCGAGCATACACCAGGGATTACTTACTACCGCTTGGGGCGGCTACAATGATAGGTCTTAGAGGGTCATCGTGAAGATCAACATAGGAAAGCTGTAAATCTAAACCAGAGTCCTGAATAGCTTCTGCGATTGTAGCAAGATAATAAGCCCTCTTGTGAAAATACCGGTAGTTGAGGTAGTCTTTCTCCTGGAAAACGGTCTTGTATCGTCAGTCAGTTTCTATTATCATAGTGAACAAAGTTTACACACTGAAGGTATCTGAATAATTAGGTCAATAGCAAAGCCTTCGTGCTGTTTTGCGACAGTCTTAAGCGCGTAGCTTCCCGCGATATTCATGTATGCCGGCCTTTCGTACGAGAACTTGTACTTGATGTCTGCTCCTGGCCTCGGCTCCGGGAATGGAATATGGATTTTGCACTTTCGCATTTCCCCCTCAACCTTATCAATCTATGAATAGTTAGCATAACTTAGGAGGCATAAGGGATTCAAGATACGTACAGTGGCACCTGTTTTGCGTGGGATCTTTTCGATGATATTCTTAAGCTTGTGCAGCATCTTCTCTGCCGGTGCCATTCTTTTGCGATAGTCCACACGGATTTCAGAGAGCAATTCCTCAGTTTCCATTCGGAACACGTTGGTCTTGGATTCATAGCTCTCGCTAATAGCCTGCGCTTTTTCCTGCTCGGAAGAAGAGTGTTTGGGGGTCTTTCGTGGTTTTGATTTCGCCTCAAAGGTTCGGTCTCCAAAGTCGTCCTCCTTAGAAACAGCCTCCATTTCTTCTTCCGAAGAGAGCCCACCGATAGTCTCTTTGGCCCTAACTTCTTCATCACCCTCCTCTATTTCGGTTCGGCGTTTTTTTGTAGCAGGCGCCATTATGATAATTTTATTCGTTTTCGTTGTTGATGGTTACAACAAGATGTTGGTGGGTTGAATTTTCAGAATAAAATTAAGTTGGTAGGATACCAGTAGCATGCTACCGGTATGTGCAGCAGAGCCGCATGAGGCTCAGTGCCACCTGACTGTCTGCGAGCGATCTTTTGAAAAAAGCTTCCAGAACAAAGGTGCCTGACCAACCCCTCCAACAACAAAATGCTCAACGAACAGGTGGCTATTTCAACTTTCCGGCCGACACCAGACATCTCTAGTACTGCAACAGCAGAACCTGTGATTTCCATCTACAATTTACACACATTCTCTCAAACTGCTGCTTTCAAACGATCCACGACCGCTAAGAATTGTCTTGCAGTAACAGATTCACATCTGTTTGCTGCGCAAAGCGATAAGGCAGTTGTAAACATATACAGTCGAGAGAAAGGGAGTTTAGAGACCACAGTTCCGTTCAAAGAAAAATTTACTGTTCTCGAGGCTGGCAGTCAGGAAATTATTGCCGGAGGAACTGAAGATGGAAGACTATTGCTTTGGGAGGTTTGTTCGAAATGGGTTCTGGGTCGAAGAGAATTCTAATGAGAATAGACTGCTACGGGACGATATATATCTACTCAACAAGCTCACCTCCAAAGACTTACCAGCATAGTCTTTGATTGCTCTTCGAACTTTGTTATCACTGGCTCTGCCGATAGTAATGTGTGTGTTTGGTCGATACCTGCCCTCCTCGACATACGAACTGGTGAACGCTCGCCTCTTTATACTCTGGACCGACACACTCGAGAGATTACTGCGCTTGCTACCGGGAGAGTGGCAGCTGGTGGGCCTTCCGATATTCTGCTCACTGCTTCCCGGGATCAATCTGTCGCCGCCTGGGACTTCCACACCGGCACTCATCTACGAACTTACATCTTCTCTTCAATTCCGACGTGCCTTGCCATTGATCCCGCAGACCGAGCATTCTACGCGGGGCTAGAAGATGGAGGAATACAATGTGTGGACTTCTTCAACCCAGCTGATGGAGTGGATGATGCTGCCTCAAATCAGCTATTCACCAGAGAATTTAGGGACGTACCCGTTACACTGCCCGAGAAGCGGTGGTTTGCTTCTGGCATTGACAGTGTCATAACCGCTCTGGGTGTAGTTTTTGAAGGAAACTATGTTGTTTCAGGGAACGAAAACGGTGATGTTTGTGTCTGGGACGTTGCGACGGGCCATATGTTTCGGAGTCTTGTTAAGCTTAAAGGTACCGCTCAGATTCCATAAACGCAAAGATTCGGAGGAATGTGCTCACGGTTACTAGCAAGTATCGCGAGTCTAAAAATTCTTCCTCCAATTGGCTTCATGCCTGCGCACCTAGAAATTTCAGAGCAGAAACATCAACCAACCAGCATATCAAAACCTCGCTATGACGCCATTGTATCACCCTCAGTTGCCGACCTTTATGGATACACTGTCTCGACAAAATTTCTCACGCCCTCGCTTCCCGGGGTAGTTACCTCTCCATTAGCGTCTATGCAAGTCAGCTTGTCAAGCTCATTTTCACCGGAAAATGACCTGTGTACGCTACAGCAACAGGCAGATGAGATGGCGGCTTATAGGCCCGCATTGGTGTCAAAACACAAGATCGAAGCGCTGGAGGCCGAGCTGAGGATCCTGTATGAACAATATGACAAGCTGGCAACACTGCATAACATGACATGGGAGGGCATAGTGAAAGAGGCCCTAGAATAAATTCTTTCGGCCGAAAAATAATGGCGGCTTAGTCTCATAATACCTGTAGATTTCTCAAAAAGCTTTGCCATACTGAACCGCAGAAGTTCACTACCATAATACTCGTACTCATAGTGAGTGTCACATGATGCGTTCCTACTACTTACTTGTACAGTACTTTCAAATATTACTTCGTATTCCCAATTGCCCCCCCATTCCCCAAAAGAAAGCAAACTCAAGTACCGTATGTTAGAAAGAATATTAATTTCAACTGCGTACTCGAGTAATTGGGCCAGATGAGGTCCTAGTCGAGGGGGGAGGAATTGAATCAAAAAAAATGCGCCAAACCCGGATTGAACGGGTGACCTTCAGATTACCCCGAGTATTGAACCGAAGAGAACTTCAGTCTGACGCTCTCCCAACTGAGCTATTGGCGCTTGATAGGTTTATTACAGACAAATGAAAATTTCAACAATGAGCATCACACACCCTCACTCATCCCTAGATAGAATGCATATTGTTTAGGAAGGAGACACAAGCCAAAACATGCTAAAAATGGGCATTCTCGAGTGATCATTACTGCGCGGATTCAGCTATGGTGAGCTTCAAAGAAGATTGGAAAAATAGTTGAGTGTTTGAAATACACGGTACAATTTTTGCCGATTTTTATCTACTCCATACAAAAAGTGAGGGGCATTTGGGATGATATAATGCCTTAGACGCCTGTTGCAGTCCATCCTTTGCATTCAAAAACCCTTGCTTTGACGGGTGCCAGAAGGCCGCATGGAAAAAATTGATCACTACTCCATCCCAGCGGTGAAAATCCGAAAAGTTATATCTTAGGAGATGCTTGAGTGGGTCTTTCCCTGTAATTTTTGGATGTGTTTTGGTCTCCTTCCAAAACATGCGCATTGGATATTACCCGGCTTGTACCACCTAATCTGGTTATGATAGCTCAAGAAAGTTAGGAACCAGAGGCTCCTCACGCGTCGACTCCACAATCAGATACAGCAATCGTTCAAAAAGCTTGATGGCCCATTTAGCAGATGCGAAATCCCTTCTCGACAATCGAGGTCACTACGCCGGCCAAACCTTCCATGGCGTTAATCCACTCCTGCTCGTCGAGAAGATCATCCGCGAGCGTATCTTCGAGAGCTTGTACTGGAAGGAGCAAGCATTCGGCCTGAATGGTGGGACTGTCCTCCCCCCCTGGTGTCTATACGAACACACTATCCTCCGCCCTTGCTAATTGCCCAATGCAGCTGCAACATTACTCGATAGAGCGGTCGAATTGACGTACATTGGTGGGCAGTACTCCAACCAACGGCCTACGCCATTCCTCTGCCTCACCTTCAAGCTCCTGCAACTTCAACCTAGCCGCGAGATAATCTTGGTCTATCTCAATGACCCCGATTTCAAATACCTTCGTTCGCTCGCGGCGTTCTACATACGATTGACGTGGAGTGCTGTGGATATTTACCGAACATTGGAGCCGTTGATGGGGGATTATAGAAAATTGAGGGTTCGTGGCATGGGCGGCTGGAGGATGACCTATGTTGATGAATTTATTGATGAGCTCTTGACCAAGGAAAGAGTCTGTGATATTGCGCTACCGCACATTAAGACGCGGGCGATGCTCGAGGATGCCGATGAGTTGGAGCCAAGGGAGAGCTTACTTGGAAGTGAAGTTGAAAGTGAGGGGGAGACTGATGCCGAAGAGGACAGGGGAGCTAATAGCGGAGATGAATGACTCGACGATACTAGATGTTCTTTTATTCTCTCTTTTTTTTTGTGGTGTTTGGGCGCTCTAACATCCAGTCTTTCAAGCGGTTGTGTGTGATAGCTAATTAATGATCTTTCTTTGGATGACCACCTGTATTTGAGATGCGCGGGTATGTAGGATTAGGATATAACATTTCAAATTACTTGTTGGCCCCACATCCCCGACCTGTTATCTTTCTACCGCATGATGTCAGGTGTCCTCTGTCGTCATCTTAACTCAAGTTTTTCCCTTGGAGTGGTAGTGCAGGTGCACATATCCTTCCTGCAATAGTCTCCCTGGCCTTAAGCCAAGCTAGATATCGGCACACCCTATAAACTCCTAAAATACTTAAACTTGTCCTGGTTTATATCCTTTTCTTTTCTTCTTGGAGAATCTTAGCCCCCTCAGTCACCCCCAACGACCCTCGTCTCCACACTTCCCACTCCCACCTCACAATATCAACTTCTGTGCATAAATCTTTGACATAACCTAGTCCCCCTATCCACATAACTAATTCCCATAGTCTTCTCCCGCCTGTGATCCAATCAAACATTCCACCTTTGCCACCCAAATCCGTGACCCTCATCCAAGCCGTGGCCAAAAACCAAACCACTGCGAATAGCGCACCAACGAAATATCCACACGCAACCTGTCCGGCCGTATGGTAGGACAAGTAAATTCTACTCAGCGCTACTGTCGCCGATACAGCCAAAATTCCGCCGCTGAGTGCCCATCGAACCACCGGACTAAACCCCTTCGACCGGCGATGAATCCAGAGCGAAAAATAAACTGCGAAGAACGCCATGAATTGGGCGTGGGAAGAGGGCATTCCATACCCGTTTCCATACATCTCTAATTCCAATCATACTTGTTAGCTTCGTTGAATGTAGGGGTAGGGGGTGAAACGTTTTGGTCGGCCCTGCTTAAAGTATCTTTTGAGTGCCCAGTTCAGTGCCTCACAGGATAGTTGTCCCGCAAACATAAGTAGAACCTCTATCTCGCGTTGGGCAATTACCAGTGTCGCGTAAGAGACACCGAGAGCTTGCGGGAGAAGGGCTAGCCATGCGCATAATAGTGATACAGGATCGTCAGGGTTCTGGTGTTGGCCGTAGTCAGCTAGCGAATGGGAGCCGTGAAGGGGAATGTACGAACGTAATAAACATGGGAAAAGCTGAGGGAAGCAAGAGGGGGTTCGAAGTGTTCCTTGGTCATTGAACTGGGGGTTTAGCGGATTGAGGTGCTGACGATTTATGAAGTTTGTGTGTTTGAGCTTGAGTTCGGGGGTGATGGATTGCCGGCTGGAGTAACTCTAGGTTTAGCGACATGGGTTAGGGTTTTTTTTGGAACGAGTGAGGCGAGGTGATGGTTTTTCATACAGTATCATACATCAAATTCAATTGATATCCTGAAACACGCAAATTCTGGGGCTGAGATTAATTCGTGGATTAATTTTCGGGTTTACCATGTTTACGATCCACAGAATATTCATGATTGAGTTTGCGATGGGCTGAGCTACTGAGGGGCAGCCAAATGTATTGTAGTCCATCTCCTTATCCATTATTAACATCCTCTGGGAGGCTTGCAATCCCTTCCTCGCCAATCCATGTGAGAATGGCAACTCCTTCAACATGATGTGTTTGCGGAAAAAAGTCAAATCCGCGAATTTCATCAACTCTATAGCCACTGCCCTTCCCATTTAGTATATACCCCAAGTCCCTCGCTTGAGTATGGACATTGCAGCTAACGTAAACCACTCTCTTCGGTTTAAATTCCAGGAGTTGGTCTAGAAACGGCTTATCACAACCCTTTCTCGGGGGATCGATAATCACGCTCGTTTCGGTGCTAGGAAAGTCTATTGATTCGAAAATCGTTTCTGCGTTGCCAGCTATAAAACGGGCGTTTTCGATGTTGTTTGCAGCTGCGTTAGAACTTGCATAGGCTATGCTGTCGGCTGCGATGTCCACCCCAATTACGCTTGTTAGGTTCTTGCCACAGAGGATTGTAAAGAGGCCACTTCCACAATAGGCATCTACTAGGTACTTCGGAGAGGTAGAAATAGTAGTTCTGGTGCCGTCGGGAGAGGTGGTGAGTACTGGGTAGTGCAGCTTCGAGCGAACGTAATCCGTGAACTTTATTAAATTTTATTAGTATAAATTAAATGGCTCAGAAGAATAACGCGATCGTGATTAATTGTGGAGAACGTACAGCTGGCAGTATAGAGTTATTATTCTGGAAGAAAGCCCCAGCTGGATTCACAAACTTGTAATCCCCGATGTATTCTGTAGTTTGAGCATTGTTGTCCGTGATACATTCCTTCTCCTCAACCCATTTCGTATTTCCTTCTTCACCTTCCTCTCTTGGCCTCCTGGTTGTACTTTCTCGGAGTAGTATGGTAGCGCCGCGTTTGTAGGTATGGAGGTTCTCCTCTACATACTTCCTAGCGGTTTTGATCCCTTTCCTTAAAATATCCGTTCCGATTGGGCAATCTTCAATATCTAACACTTGTCTCCGACCTTTAATCATGAAACCAATATCTGGTGTCGGAGCCCCAGCTTTAAATCCTCCTCTGCGCGGACCGTCAAAGTGTGGTGTCAATTTTGTCCGGTAGCTGTACTGCAGCGGGCTTCCGACTGTATCTCCAATGCCTGGCAAAAGTTTCGGATCAAGATTGGAAAAGTTGTCGTAAGCCTTTAGAATCACGTTTCGTTTATGTTCCAACTGCTTTGCGTATGGAAGCATCTGGAACTGACAGCCAGAGCAGGTGTTGAAGTACTTGCAGCCAATGAGTGAATCATCGCGATCCTGAGAGGGGCTCTTTACAGAGAGGAAGTCGGTTATTGAATGGGTAGTCGTGTGTCGGATTACTTTTGCTGTGATGATGTCCCCGGGAATAGAGAACGGGACCACGTATATTCGCCCACTATGCTCTGCTAGACCATCACCAGTAGACGAGAGCATTTTTATGGTGAGCTCTATCTCGCTGGATATCGGAGGGAGGCCCTGTTCTGGGAAGGGCTTTTCTGGGCGTGTGAGACCCAAAGCCGACATTAGGGAAGAAATGTCTGTTTGGAGAACCTCTTCTGCCCCGCCTTCTTTGACGGGCTTCGGGGCCCTTTCTAGCCGGCGGCGTTTTTGGTTTCGAGGAGAACCTCCGTCATGTTGGCGGAATTGAGGACGAGTATTTGAAGGGCCTGGAGGTGGTGGAAGTGGGGCAGACATCTTTGACCAAGCCTGGGGTGGGGCGTAGGCGACAGTTGACTTAAAGTATCGAGAAGGAGTTGGGATAGTCCTGAGAAAGGACGATTTAAGGCTTGGAGGCCGGAGATATCGTTTGATCATGCGCCGGCGAGTTTCCCCTCTTTGTCGCTATCTATCGGAGTGGGGGCGCGAGCAGCGCAAGGTTGGACTCTTCATACTCTTCATGCACTTTGCTCTTGTTTCCAAAAGCGAGAAAACTAGTTACTGACACAACCCTAAGCCCTAAGAAATAGTGTAAGCTCTACACATAGGACGGCGGAGCGAAGGAATGCGGTACCATACGTAGGAACTGTAGTTTGATTAACATGTATCACTGAATAAGAGCAATGAAGTGAACCAATGGCTAGAAGCTATGAAGAAAAGTGCTTATTATGGTGGTTAAGACAGAATCTCGTATGTTACCGTATTAAATATGTAGACTAATCCGCCGACCCCATTTTATCTGTTAAAAAGCAAAGGGGGAGTAAAAGGGTAGCTAGAGTCCTATGATAATAGAAAATACAAGCCAGTCCGCCCAATTTCCTTCATGTTCTTTTGCTCCCAAACGCCATCATCGAATCCCTTCGTATATATCAATCTCCCTACGACGATAACTGTTGTACAAATGCAATTTTAGAAAGTCATTGATTATACCGGTACAGGCTGTCCCTGTCCTTGGCTATGACCCGGGGTTTCTTTTTCAACATCTGTGCATATCTTCAACATATCGCCCTTCCATCCTGCGAATTGCTTTCTCCTTTTAGGGTTCAGATAGTCAACCTTGTCCTGCATCATAGTACCAATCCCACTCTCTTCCTTCTCCTTGACTTTAGTCTCTGTCCTAGTCCGAGCTCTTAGGGTTCTGACCGCCATTGGAGCAACGGGTGCAGGAGTAAACGCAACTTCTCTCTTCTTTTCTACTGGAGCCGAACTAGCACCCAATTTACTCTTCGGGACAGCCTTTTTCCGGGCTGGAGTGTTGGTGGCTTTCCCAGCCAAAATCTCAGCTTGAAGCTGTAAGTCCTCCTCATTAGCAGCTGCGGCCTTGCGTTTCTTGATACCGCCTTGATCGGGAACATTCTTCAGCCATTCGAGCTCTTTGATTCCCATCATCGATAGATCCTTGACCCAACCATCTGTATCCTCCTTTGTGAATCCATCTTCACCAACACTCCCTAGGGCTTTCATTACGCCATCACGCTTCATACAGTAACCTTCTCCGCGTCTCCATTTTCCGGCAGATCCGACAGTGATAGTCTTTCCTTCGGGAAGGAGCTTCTCAATAATGAGCAGGGCGGCGGCGGTGATGATAGGGAGAGCATAGTTCTTTCTGCGAGGGAATTTGTCATCTGGTGCAACCTTTAGCGTCGCAATAGTCCCAGCAATGATGTGAATTCCAGCGGAAGGGCAACCCAAAGCGCGGCAAAGTGTAACGACATGAGCTTTAATCTCCGGATCGACGGATGAAAGATTTGAACTACCAGCGACCGGTGTAGAAATGGAAGAAACAGTAGAGGGAGTTTCTAGGGGAGCTTGTGGGGCGACCTGTTGGGAGCGAAAGGAGACCGTTGTCAGGGCTTTGTGGAATTGGTTATAAAGGGCACCATAGGCTCTCTTAGCTAGTGGTGGGCGGGGTTCGATGGCCGGAAGATCAAGCTTTTTTCGCAATCTATCCGGCATGGTTAGAGCTATGGATCTATCTCATGAAAGACGAGAGAAGTGAGAATACCTATCACACGCGATGTGAGCACAAACATAATCTCTTGTCGCCTCCTCTACGGGTTTTAAACTGCTGATCCGATTGCGAGATTGGGTGATGAGTGACGCGGATAGATCAATGAGCTCCGATGGGACTGGCCCAACAAGTGATGGGATTAGACCCGAAAGAGTCGACTCAAGCGCTTTGTTCATGGCAAGAAGAAAGCTATCGGTTGCGGCAGAAGAATGAACTTTCAGCGGAGGTCTGGTATGTACCCTTGTGGGAGAGATGGGGGAGGAGAGGAAAGCAACTAAATAGAGGGCAGATACGAGGGACCTTCAAAGTTTCGCGTCCTCTAAAGCCCAATGATGACTCAGCAAACATGTCTTGGCGTTCGATTAAACATTTTTCTTTTCTTTTCATGTTCTATAACCAAAGTTATAAAATGAAACCGCTGCCGGTTGGTTTCACCTTTTTTCACAACAAAATCTCCTGCCATAACCATGCCTCGCCCAAAGAAGGACAAGTCGGATCCTTCTTTTCAGTTACTATCTGAGGATCCTACTTCCTCTGAATCCCAGTACCGGCCAATCTTCGGTATCCTTTCTGATTCCGAAGATTCGGGATCTGGAGACACCCAAGAGTACCATTCTGCGGCCGAACTGCCCGATGGGGAGGATGGCCACAAGCTCAGGATTAATAAAGAATATGCAAGACGATTCGAATACAACAAGAAGCGCGAGGAGCTTCATCGCTGTATGTTTCACTCCAACCATGCCTGCCCCACTACCCCACTATCTTACCATCATCTAGATGTTACTAACGATTTGTAGTGCAAGAAAAATATGGCAATCAGGGCCTAGGAGAGAAAGAGGAAGGCTCGGAGGAGGAGGAGGAGGAGGAAGAGGAGGACGATACAGCAGTGCTAGCAACAGAACGCCTGGATCAAGAAATCGCAGCAACAATCGACGCAATTCGAAAAAAAGACCCCAAAATATATGATGGAAAGACAACCTTCTTCTCGGCTGTTGAAGGAGAGGGAGAACCGGGTGGCAAAGAGGGAATTGAGAGTGAGAAGGAAAGGCCAATGTTTTTAAAGGATTATCATCGCAAAAATCTTCTTTCTGGAACCGTCGGCGATGAAGAGACTCCTATGACTTACTTACAGGAGCAGGAAGATTTCAAGCGCACGGTCGTTCTTGAGATGCACCAAGCGACTGCGAATGAACCCGATTCTGATCCCGATGACGCTGACGCAGGTTTTCTGGTCAGGAAAAGGCAACCTGAGAAGCCTGAGCCTGTTGTGGACATCCCCGATCCAGCCACTGCCGATCCAGACAATCCTGAAGAATACCTCACACGTTTCTTTCAATCTCGTGCATGGACTAAACCAACTGGGTTCATCCCTCTCGAGGATGATGATTCGGGAGAAGAGGACTGTATAGAGGAATTCGAAAAAGCGTACAACTTTCGTTTCGAGGACCCTGATGCCAATGTCAGAGGTAAATTAATGACCTACGGTCGTGATGCAATTTCGGCCAATACTGTGAGACGGGGAGAGATATCTGGAAGGAAGAAGACACGTGAAAAGAAACGGGAAAAGCAACAAGCCGAGAAGGAACTTCGGGAGAAGGAGAAGGGTAGACTGCGGAAGCTCAAAACGGAGGAATTAATGGAGAAATTCAGGATGATCCGAGAGGCAGCTGGACTAGATGACGATGGAGAAGACAAGGAAGTTGAAGCGGAGGTCCTGAATAACCTTTTAGAGGGTGACTGGAGTGATGAACAATGGGAAGAGTGGATGGCTAAGAAGTTTGGAGATAGCTACTACGAGGCTAATGTAGGCAAAATAAAGAAGCCAAAGTTTGACGGCGAAATCGACATCGGAGACATAGTCTCTGATCTTGAAGGTGGTGTCGAATTTGGTCTCGAGGATGGGGGAGGAGAGGCTGACTCGGAGACCTCGGAAGGGGATAAGGAGGTCGGCAAAGATTCCCAAACGGACAGGGAATCTAGAGACGTAGGGCCCTTTCAAAAAGAGGAGCGCAAAAAGAGGCAAAAAGAAAGGGACCTCAAACGCAAATTGGAGCAATACATTGAAGAAAACTACGATTTCGAAGACCAAGTAAGCACACACCCTAGTACCTCTGTAGTTCCAGTTTCTAATCAGTACAGATCCCTTCTAGTAATCTTAAGACAAGCTTCCGTTATCGAGAAACTACCCCCGAATCATACGGCTTAACATCCCTAGATATCCTTGCAGCGGAAGACGCTGACCTCAACTCCTTCGTTGGGCTCAGAAAGCTCGCTACGTTCCGAGAACCCGAGAAAAAAAAGAGAGATAAAAAGCGTTACGGAAAAAAGAAGCGGTTGAGAGAGTGGAGGAAGGAGACCTTTGGTGACGAGGAAGGAGTTAAGATACCAGCGGACCAGGAGCCTACTGGTGTCACGGAGGAGAGGGAATATTACGTAGATATCAGAGGGGTGGGGGGTGGCGAGAGGAAGAAGAAGAGGAGGAGAAAGGGGAATAAAGGTTAGCTTCTAATATCAAAAATATAATATAAAATTTCGTATTTCTGTATCTGCGAGCTGGGCTATATCTGAGCTGGGGGTGTGATATACTGTATATACCATGAGTGGTGATACCAGCCACAATATTATTATGGTTTCTGTAATGATGTGTTTTCCGTGCGAAAATGTAGTAGAGGTGGTCGCCCTCCCCCCGTGAAGATCATGTGCCGTTCGGTTCACCTCACGGGCAATCACTCGCCGATGTAAATTGGGTCTCTATTGTTCCGCCACGACATGGGAGGGACGCAAAAGAGATTTGAATGATAACTGAAGGTCAAGCACTAGATTTGTGAGTGTTAGGCGATATTCGGTATGATATAATACAGACCAGACGAGCTGAGATGGTTAGCGGTCGAAACCTTGCTGCGGATTGTGACACGGAGGGCCGAACTGGACGGGCATGGTATCATAGTAAAATACTCGGGCTGCTAGCCACCCTACACCAAAAAGAGCCATTTCCGGGGACTACTCCATACCATCTAGGTGAGGAATTTCTGTAAGAATTATGGGAGAGACTATGATATTGCTTTCCCCTGTCGGAGTGCGGGTTGACAACTTGTGATGCATTATCATAAGGTGCAAGATCTGGCTTGCCAATGGTTTCTAGGCATCCTTTCCGTCCATCCTTACCCCGTTATCCCTAGTCTCTCTGTTTTATGATACCCTCGAGTTTTTCTCTTCCACATATCTTTGGCGCCCATTGGTGATCTGGTAAGCGGTGTTTGGTGGGTTTACGGTAAGCTGTTATAGCATACCAGAAGTGAACTTGCTCGACGCCTTTATATTGTATGTGTATCTGCAATGATTAACAAGTGAGTAAAGGAGCAAGCAGTAAGAAAAGTAAATAATATCATATTAGAATATGACTTCTACTATTAGACCTATTCTGCATCTTAGATTTCCAAACCAGTACCATAAACTACTTCCTACTTACTGAAAATAATCAACTAGGATAAATGTAGCCTTTGTAAAGTAAATCTATGTTATAGAAAACAACATAGATTTACAGTACTTTTGGCTTCTCTTTTGAGATTTATATTGCTATGCAATCATTGCAGATTACTAAAAGGTAATGCATGAAAGCAAGTAGCTTTCTTCTATCTATACTAGAGTATGTCCTCCTACCTGCCTACTTGTATTTTCATTATACCTACTCTTATATATTTTCCACCTATTTGAATTAGTAAATGCCCCCTCCAACAACCCACCTATATTTCCATCCCTCCTGTTAGTATATGCCCTCCCACTAACCTACCTATAATTCCATCCCTCTTTTTAGTATATGCCCTCTCGCCAATCTATCTATGTTTTCTTCCCACTAGTGCTTTATTGTGTAAAATGTTGGTTGTAGTATTATGTGGTATTGATAGTAGAGTAATGTATATAGTACTAAATATAATGTTATATAATGTGGTATATGAGAGAAGAAGGAGTGAAAAAAGTTGATAAGGAAAGAAGAGAAGGAGGAGGAGGTGTGATGGACTTCTTTATATAAGCCTCCCTCAGAAATGCCAAGCTAGGTACATAAGAAAATAGAATTTATCCTACTACTCTTTCTACCTCTTACTTGCTAAAAATAAATAGATGCTATTAGAGTAGTAAAAGTATATAGCTAAGTATTTGATAATAATATTATTGTCCATCTAATACTCTAAATTGCCATTTACTAGAGTACAAGGTTTGGAGATGAGCTTTTTGCAATGCAATAAAGGGAGATATTTAGTACATAGTACTTTAAATAGCTTTAGGATATACCTCAGAATTTAAAGGCCTCTGTTTTAAAGAAATTTTGGGAGAATGACAAGCCTCTTGTTGGTACACGATAAAGATTTTAATAATATTTATTGTATTTTTAAATATAGCATAGAAAAGATGTCTATTTATCATGTATATCTATGAGTTTTACTTTACTTTTGAATTTTTTATTTCAAGTGAAAACCTAGTAGAAAAGTTATCAAAACATTAAGAGTGCATTCTGCCGCCACCAGGTAGGAAGACAAAATACAAGGTTGAGTAATTATGCATTAATCAACCAAGGGGTGCTGTTCTCCTAGCACGAACTGCAAGGTTGAAGCTCACAGAATAAGGCTTGGAAACACCAGGTTGGACCTTTTGGTCTGAGCTGTTTTTGAAAACCTGTAGCTTGTAATGGCAAGAGTGACATGACAATCTCATTCGCCTACACATTCCCATAACAACAATTACTATATTACAGCTAGCTCTCCACATCCTACTTTCTTGTTGAGTATGATATCTACTGTGACTAGGACTTCTACTATAGATATTTTTAACTGAGTCTTATATAGGATGGTTGATGTTACTCCTGAACTTCTTTGTGCAGTAGGATATGCTGTCGGAACCTACTGTCAGCTTCATATAGGCACAGAGCTCCATCGGACTTCAGCTATATTGGGAGGCATGTATATAGCTGAGCTACTGAAAGGAAGAGAGGAGAGGATAATAGAAGTACTAGGAATATCTCAGAGTTCTTTTTTGGCCCTGTGCAGCTTTCTAGTTATTGTTAGATCTCTGGAAAACAGTCAATATATTGGGGTTGATGAGCTGCTGGCAATATTTTTATTGATTGTATGGAGAGGGCAGTCTTTTCAGCAGGCAGGAGAGTGTTTCCAGTACAGCCTATGTACCATTCAGAGGTAAATTTCTTCTTTCATAAGTGTAATAACCTACTAATACTAACTATGATAGGTATTTCCACCAAACAATTGATGGATTGATCCACCTCCATTCTAAGACTGTTAAACTATCATCTCATAGTATTCCAGTTGAGATTTGCCTCAACTCTAAGCTTTACCCATACTTCAAAGACTGTCTTGTAGCTAGTGATGGTACCCACATATTAGCAAAGGTTTTGGCTGCTGAAGTACTCTACTTTCAGAATCGAAAAGACAACACAGAATATGTTCTCATCATGTCGGTTTGACTTTTACTTCACATTTGTTTTGCCTGGTTGAGAGGAGTCTATGCACGATGGCTGAGTTCTTGCTGACACTGAGTCCAAGGGGTTTTGTATTCCTACAGGAAAATACTACTTGCTTGATGAAGGATACTTATACTCTACTGGGTATCTAACACCATATTGGAGAGTACAATACCATTTGAGGGACCAGGTACTTGTCTTCCAATGACCACAGAGCTGGAGGAGCTGTTTAACCTTCGGTATGCTCAAGCAGGGAATGTGATAGAGCGGATCTTTGGTGTACTCAAGAAGCAGTTTACTATTTTCCAAACCCAGATGGTATATGACTTTCCTGTACAAGTCAAGATAGTTCTTACTCTTACTGCTATGCACAATTTTCTGTAAGAGGAAACAGATAGAGCCAAGTACAGACAGTAGCTGGAGTAAATCTTAGAGGATGAGAAAAGAAAGGAAATGCAAGTAGCAAGTGGTGAGGGTCTAAGTACTGGTAATTTGAAGGATAATTCAGATGGTACACTTATGGGAGATACTGGTTCAGCAGATATGAAAAAGCTACGTGATTAGATTGCATAGGAAATGTGGAAAGATTACTGTAAATATGTTTTAGCCTATAAGAAGTGTTAACAGTTACATACTACTATTTTAATGTGTTTGCAAGGTGCTAATTATGTTATCGGTAATAGATATGATAGTTGGCAGGTGGCCTGCTCTTCCAGAGAGGAGGCGAGAGCTGAGAACTAAAGGAGGCTTCGAGGGTGTACTGAGGAACAAAGAAGTAACTGTTCAACCAAGTATATTGAGATACTGTCTGTCGAAGTCTGCCTTTTCTATCGTAGAAACAGGTGGTCTTTAAATACAAAGATCTGTTCATGTCTTGCATGAATGAAACTAATCAAAGGTATCAATTAATACACTTTGGTAAAACTAATTAAGTATCAAAGCGATACTTAAAACAAACCAAGTATCAAAGCGATACTTAAAACAAAACATAAAACAAAACCAAGTATCAAACGATACTTAAAACAAACTAAGTATCAAAGCGATACTTAAAACAAAACATAAAATAAAACCAATAACCGAGTACCTGTACCGGTTACATTCCCCAAAACAAAACAACTGTTTAAACAAACAAAACCTCATAATCATCAAAAGCCGAGTCTGAGAAACTAAAGGCTTCAATTTCTGCTATCAGTTCTTCATCGTAAGTGTCACACCAGGGGCAAGAAGAAATTCTAAGAAAACATTTAGACTTAAAGAAATGCAAATCACAATAGTCACGAATACCAGATTTATGCTGTACATCAACCCAAGCATTGTCGCAGTCAGGAGAGTAGTCTATCCAGAGGATTTCGAAGTAGTCTTCAGGTTGGATAGCATTGTGGTTCAACAACAGTCCAATAATCTGTTGTTGCAGCCTCACATTAAGTTCCACATAGTTTGACATCGTTATGGTATTTGGATAGTGGATGGCGATCAGATAAGGTTGTCAAGAGCCTGCTCCATAGCTTGATTTTCCTCATCACTGCTTTCAAATTCTGACTCAAAGTATAGTGCCCAAAATCCATCCCTAGCTTCGAGTTCCTCATGCCATTGCTCAGTTTCTGGCATTGTAGGTGTCCAGCACATGGTGATGTAATTGATCGTTGGGGGGAGGGATTTGTTTGGCATCCTGTCTTTCCACCAATCATTCACCATATTCATAGCGTGCTCTAGTCCTTCTAACGGTTCCCAGCTGTTTTTGCTTGTTGGGTATCCTTTTCATTTGACCAGGATCTGATCATTCCCATGCCACAGGGGGTGGTCTCGGATTTCTTCAACTTCCCTTTCATCTTTCTTATCAATAATGATAGGTACAGGTTGAGACTAGATTCTTCCAGGGAACTTAGAGTTGTCATTTGGGTGGAATCGCTTGACAGCAGGGGCGTGGAAGACTGCAGTATTGTAGAAGTTCTTGCGTCCATCCATCTGGACAGTGTAGCTTTCTGTATGCTTGTCAATGGATAAGACCTTGAAGGGTCCTTGCCATTGGGGTTGTAGTTTCTTGCTGCATCCAACATTAGTAATGAATATG